GTGATATATCTATTTGGAGTTTTATTATCTTATTTATCATAGGCATTAATATAACTTAGACATAACACCCATCAGTTCAGTCCTATCAGCTATTTCTTAAATTCCAAAGGAGCTTATGGTAGCATAATACAGAGTTGTGTTGTTTCCATAAAGTGACTGATTTGTAAGTATTCAAACGATAGTCAACTGTTTTTCTCTATTAGTTTATACTTAGTGAATAATGTACCATTTCTAACTAGTGAATGATGATGAAGTGAATTAGTCATCTAGATAGGCTTGTGGATTTGTGCTTTGTTGGAAGGAATGTCAGATGTGAGAGAATGTTAATTTGTTTTTCCATCTATTCCATTAAGTAAGCGGAGATGTAAGAAATGGATTTGATGCTAAGTAGCTTTTTTAGTGTTATACTAATTCTTTGGAGACTAATAGTGATGGGAAGAATTTATCTGTATATTAGGATTCTCTACCTGGTCATTTAGATATGTTATTTGCTGCAACCAATATTGACTGCTCTCAAGTCATAGGCATTTTGATAGAATCTAATATCTGAGGTCCCAGTCCCCTTTTATTTGAGTATCATTGATTACCATCAGAAGAACTAGATTTGAGTCAGAACTCTGCTATTCGCCAGCTTTGTAAGTGGACAAGTCAGCCTTTCTGAGCTTCAGTTTCCTCATCTGTAATATGTATCTCATGGAGTCTTTGTGAGGAAGGTGCTTTGTAAACCATAAAGATCTTTATTAATATAGGTTGTTGATTTTATCTCCAAGAATATCACTAGAAACTTGTCAAATGTTTTGCTGAACTCAAAGTTCATTGTGTTCCTAAGGATCAAATGAAATAACATTTTTAATGGACTTTGTAATCATTATGTGCTTTATAAATACACACAGTTCTTCATTAACCTTCTAGTTCTTCTGTTGCCCCCAGATGAGGGTAATAGTTCTGGATTAGCCCAAATATAAGTTTCAATTTCCTCTCAAATTTGGATTTTTATAAAACCTGATTTTGGCTTACAGTCAGTGTTATTTTTTCAGTGCATACAAACATATATGTTGGTTTGATAGATGCTAGCACATCCTTCTAAGGTTGTCTTGTATCTCCTTTGTATGTAACTTATATACCTATAAAAGTACATATATGTACATAATGTACATACATGTTAGAATGTAAACTTCTTGAAAGCAGGGATTATTTTCACTTTTTCTTTGTATCCTCAGCACTTGACACAGCCCCTGAAACGTATTAAAGTTCATGATAAATGTTTGCAAATTAATCGATTGTCCTCTTTAGTATTGGAAAATGTGGAGAAAATGAGTTAGCATAGGACTGAGTAAGGCTATTAAATGAGGTATATCTATACAAACGAAAAGACATCAGATATTTCTTTTATCAGTTTTGTTAGTCATTTTAGCCCATTTTAATAGGTTGTCTAGATCAGTGGTGTGAAATGGATCCCTGCGGTTGCATATTGACAAAACTACAAATTAACATTATCTATGTTTCACTGTAACCACTCCATTATATTTGCCAAGAAGCTCCAAGTGGGTTCACTGAAGAGTCTGACTGAGACTGAACAACATTTCATTGTATCTTTATTTATTTTGTTAAACATTTCTCAGTTATCTTAAATCTTGTCTGGACTGCACTCTGAGGATGGTTTAGAGCTGCAGTCTCCAGAAAGGGAACCACTAAATTGTACATAAGGATCCCTGTGGCTGTATGTTGACTTAGAAAACCCCATGTTTATTACATATTTCTTTTTTTAAATTAATACAACGCATTAAAATTAGATAAGAACTACATTTTAATCTGATTTGTGTGGCATGGGAGTGTTGTGACCCACATGCTGGTAGTGTCCACACCTCTGGACTAGACTTAACTAAATGTCAGTACTACTACTGTCAAATCAGTTTGACAGCTGTGTAATGTATTGGAGAGAGGACAGACTGAGACAGGGAGACCAATTAGGAGGCTGTTTCATTAGTCTAAATGAGAAGTAATGAGAGCTTGAACTAAGATGGATGGTGGCTGGGTGAGAATAGAGGAAGCAGGTGCAAGAGATGTTTTGGAAGTAGAAATGATGACACTTAACAACTGGTTGGATGCTGGGAATATTCTCACCTGGTTATTAGTAGTACTAGTAATGGTTTCTAAAGGGCCAGGGTCTGACAATAAGTGATGTGTAATCAGTGAATCAGAGGGTGGGGAATATAGCCAATCATGGACCTTATCTCCTACATACTTGCACCTTTCCTTATCTTCCAATGCTGTTCAACTTTGTTTCTTCCCTCCACAGTATAAGTGTCTCTCCCCTGTCTCCGCATTTCTGCGTAGGAGTTCCGTGTAAGTGGGCACCACTAGCAACAACTGTACAAATGCCTTTGGGAAAATTCCTTCCTCACAACTTCTGCACCCCACCCCACCCTGCCGCAATACCTCATGGCTAGAGCAGGAGGGCAGCACTTGGTAATATAAATAATGCACATAGCTAACAATGTCATTCCTTTATTCAGTAACCTTTAGTGACTTCCTGTTGATCTAAGATCATTTTTTTCATCTTTTTCCTGTTATAATGTTTCTTTTTTGTATTTTATAATGTATATAATTATTAGTGCAGTAGTGGACATAAATAATTCATAAACAAGTGAATATACGCATGTTGTGTTTCACTAAGAGGGGTATACGATCAAAAAACTTTGAAAACCATTTAGTCTAGACCAGGGGTTCTTTTTATTTTATTAATTTATTTTTTGTTTTCAACATTCACTTCCATAAGCTTTTGAGTTTTAAATTTTCTCCACTTCCCTTCCCAAGACAGTATGCAATCTAACATAGGCTCTACATATACATTCCTATTAAACATATTTTCACATCGGTCATGTTGTAAAGAAGAATTAGAACCAATAGGAACCACAGGAAAGAAGAAACAAAACAAAACAGAAGGGGGAAAAAAGGAGCAAATATTATGCTTCAATCCGCATTCAAACTCTGTAGTTCTTTCTCTGGATGTGGATAGCATTTTCCATCATGAGACCTTTGGAGATGTCTTAGATTCTTGCATTGCTGAGAAGGGCTAAGTCTGTCAAAGTCAGCCATCGATCGCACAATGTGGCTGTTACTGTGTACAATATTCTCCAGGTTCTGCCCACTTCATTCAGCATCCGTCCATACAAGTCTTTCTAGGTTTTTCTAAAGTCTGCCTGCTTATCATTTCTTATAGCACAATAGTATTCCATTACATTCATATACCACAACTTGTTCAGCCATTCCCCAGTTGATGGACATCCTTTCAATTTCCAATTTTTTGCCACCACAGAAAGAGCTGCTATAAATATTTTTGTACATGTGAATCCTTTCCTCATTTTTATGATCTCTTTGGGATACATCCCTTAGAAGTGGTATTGCTGGGTCAAAGGATATGCACTTTTTTTTTTTGGTGAGGCAATTGGGGTTAAGTGACTTGTCCAGGGTCACACAGCTAGTAAGTGTTAAGTGTCTGAGGCTGGATTTGAACTCAGGTCCTCCTGGCTCCAAGGCCAGAGCTCTATTTACTGCACCACTTAGTTACCCCGGTATGCACCTTTTTATAGCCCTTTGGGCATAATTCCAAATTGCTCTCCAAAATGGTTGGATCAGTTTACACCACCACCAACAATACATTCATGTTCCAATTTTCCCACGTCTTCTCCAACATTTATCATTTTCCTGTTTTGTCATGTTAGCCAATCTGATAGGTGTGATGTATAGGCCAGGGATTCTTAAACAGGGATTGATGAATTTGTTTTTAAATATACTTTGATAGCAATATTTCAATAAAATTATTTTCCTTTGCAATCTTGTATATTTTATTTTATGCATTTAAAAACATTATTGTGAGGAGTCCATAGGTGTCACCAGACTAGCAGAGGGGTCCATGTCACAAAAAAGCCTAAAATTCCTGGTCTCCACCATTGCAGTTCTAAGTGGATATTTTAAACAGGAACCATTTTTCTAGTAGAACCATTCATTGACTTGCTTCTGAATACATTCTCAATGTTTCATAATGAAAAAAAAAATTAAAAGCTGAAGCTCTATGAAGTATAGATAGAAGAAAGTTATTTTTCCTCAGTTTCATTTGTCCCTGTCTTCCATCTAAATTCTGATCATGAGCTTTTTAAAAAAAAATCATTATTTATTTATTTTAAACATTAAAAATATTTTTGAGTTCCAAATTCTCTCCCTTCTGCCCATCCCCTGACCCATTGAGAAGGCAAACAACATGTTATCAGTTACCTATGTGAAATCATACAAAATGTTTTCATATTAGCCTTATGCTAAAAAAAAAAAAGCAAGAAAAATAAAGTGAGAAAATTATACTTCAATTTGCACTCAGAGTTCATCAGTTCTCTCTTTAGACATGGATAGCATTTTTCCATCACAAATCCTTTGGAATTGTCTTATATCGTTGTATTAATCAGTGCAGCTAAGTGTTTTATGACCATAAGCTTTTTTTTTTTTGAGGGTGGTGGTTTGCAAGGCAGTTGGAGTTAACTGATTTGCCCAGTGTCACACATCAGTAAGTGTCAAGTGTCTGAGGCTGCATTTGAACTCAGGTACTTCTCATTCCAGAGCCAGTGCTCTATCTATTGCACCACCTCGTTGCCCACATGAACTCTTGATGTGAGCATACTTGTTTTAACTGAATGGCTGTGGTAAATAGTAAAACATTTTAACTTGATTAGCAAGTATTTATGTCATTTTGGAATTTTTGTGTGTGTGTGAGTTAATCAGGGTTTAGTGACTGGCCCAAGGTCACACAACTAGGAAGCATCAAGTGCCTGAGACCAAATTTGAACTCAGGTCCTCCTGACTCCAGGGCAGGTGCTCTATTCACTGTTCCACCCAGCTGGCCTATTTTGAAATGTTTTAGTAGAGATTGTCTTTAGAGTTCTTGAATTTTATTTACTTATGGTGGCTGGTTTTCATCTACTTTGTTGCTTCTTTGTTTCTTTCTACAGAAACCAGTCAACAGGCCCTCCAGAATATGCCCAAAGTTCTCCGAGATGTGGAAGCGCTTAAACAGGAAGCATCTTTCCTGAAGGAGCAAATGATTCTTGTCAAGGAAGATATTAAAAAGTTTGAACAGGACACAGCTCAGTCAATGCAGGTATTCATAGATTCATAGAAATAATTAGATGTAGGAGCTAGAAGGAACCTCAGAGAATAGTCCAATTCTTTTATTTTACAGATGAGGAAATCAAAGCCCAAATAGATGTGCTAACTTACCCAAGGTTACACATTTGACAGAACCAGAATCAGAACCGATCTCTCTTGAATCCCAGACTGGTTTTCTTCCTATTCTCTTTCCCCTTGAAAAACCTGAAGTACTATAAGAAGACAGAGAGAGGTGACATTTCTCTTCAGTGCAATAAATGAATTAGTTTTCCCAACTTTGGAAAAGAATGTATTGCTATAAATAAATTAGATCTTCCAACTTTGGAAAAGAATATATTGCTATGCTTTGTCAATGATGCTAATGAATTCTTTCATTTTGATGCATTGGATAGGTGTCAGTTTAAGGTCACCCATTTTCTTATATTAGATATAACAATAAGGCACTGTAGCCATAACACAGTAGGATAGTGGGAAGGATGATGAACTCACAGTCCTGAGATTTGGGTTAGAATTCTGGTTTATACCTTACCTATTCCTCAAATTAAAATCCCTCTTCATCCTTCCCCAGTCTTTGCTTTTTTGTTCTATTCTTTGATAGAGAAGTGGGCACCTCTTCTTACCAAAGTTAACCCCTGTACTTGTGATTTTGTTCCATTCCCTGCCTGTCTCATCTAAGTGTTCCCCACTTGAACATCCCTTCTCTTTCTCTCATCTTTAATCTTTGCTTATCTAGTTGGTTCTTCTCTCCTGCTTAAATATATGTCCAGGTCTCCTCCACCATTAAAAAACTTGTTTAACCCTGAAACACTGTTGTCCTGTAGCTCTTTTCCCTTTTGTAGCTAAACTCTTAGAAAAGGGTTTTCTACGGTCATTGTCTCCATTTTGTCACCTTCCACTTTCTTTTTGGGGTGGCCAAGAATTGGAAATTGAGCTGTCAAATAGATATTCCTAAAATACAAATCTGGTGATATCACCCCCTTGTTTCTCAAGTCTTCAATGACTCCTTATTGTTTCTTGGATGAAGGCAGACTCCTCTTTCATTTAAAGTTTTACATGATCTGGCAGATGCTAGATGCCTTTCTTTTCTTTTTTTTCTTAGTCATTGATACTGTGAAAGGAATTCCTGCATTTCCTGGGAAGTTGGATTGAAAAATTGCTAAATTTTCTCCTAATTATAATATTCTGTGATTTTTTTTTTGAAATAGGAAACTATTCCAAGTTTTTTACTTTGAAGAATGGAAGATTCTCCTTATTGATTTACCATGTTTATTGGATTGAAAAAATTCTTTTGTTAGTTTTGTTATTTTAAACTGAATTTTCTTTGTTGAAATTCTGATAAATTGTACCTTTTCTCCTTAAGCTTTTGTTTCTTGGAATACTGTGACTTTGGCTGAACTTTGGCATATATGAAAAAAGGTTGGTCTTAGTAGTGACTCTTGGCCATTAGGATTGTCAGAAGCTAGAAAGGGAGATCAGTGAGAGAAAACCTTCTGTTGATTAACTCAGTCTCAGGAGACATGATTCCTTCTTATGATTCTGGTGTAGTATAATAGAAAGCACTGAAGTCTGAATCAGAGAAACCCAGATTTAAATCCTGGTTCTGACACTCACTTGCTATGTGATGATGGACAAATCTTTTAGCATTGCTGTGTCTTCAGTTTTCTTCTCTGTGAAAAATAGGCATAATATTATTTGCTCTACCTGGCAACATCCTCATTGGCTTGTGAAGAAACATATTGTTGACTGTAAAGAGCTCTATAAATAGGAGGGGTTGTTACCATCTTATCCTAAAAAGGCTATGGGAACATTTTGTTGAAGTCATAGAATGGCATCCATTTATATAGCCCCCTTGGATTTGCCAAATGCTTTATGTCTGTTATCTCAAAGGCCTATAATTGAAAATGGAGGTCCTTGGTAATCTTCCTGACAAGTAGTCTTGTGGCCTTTTCGTGAAGACCACTGGAGAAGAGGAGCCCACTCTATTCTGAGGCAGTCCACTCCCTCTTGCCAGCTCTGATTGGTAGGAAGTTTTTTCTGACACAGAGCCCAGATTGGCTTTTTTTCTACTTTTACTCATTGTTCCTAGTTTTGCCCCTTCTGGGTGTAAGGAAAGAAGGTCGAATCTTCAGATGAAAAAAAATTGAAGCCCAGAAAAGGTAAATAAGCATCCCAAGGTCTTATGGATAGACGAGGCAAGATTTAAACTCAGGTCCTATGATTCCAAATCTAGTGCTTTTACCAGGTTATTGATGACACTGAATAGTAACTCACACTATCTTCTATAATGCTTTCAGGTTTATAAATCACTTTCCTCACAATTCTGTGAGTGAGGTAGGGAGTACAACAATTATTATATACGTTTTATTTTTTTTAAATTTTATTAATTTATTTTGATTTATCAACAATCACTTCCATATGCTTTTGAGTTTAAAATTTTTCTCCCCCTTGCTCCCCCCCACCCTCCCCAAGATGGTGCATGATCTGATATAGGCTTTACATTTATGTTCCTATTAAACATATTTTCACATTAGTGAAGTTGTAAGTAAAAATTAAAACCAATAGGAGGAACCATCAGAAAGATGAAACAAAACTCAACAGAAGAGAAAAATAAGTGATAGCAATTCAACTTCCATAGTTCTTTCTTTGGATGTGGATAGCATTTTCCATCATGAGGCCTCTGGAGATGTCTTAGATCCTTGTAATGCTGAGAAGGATTAAGTTCATCAATATTAGTCATCGCACAACGTGGCTGTTATTGTGTACAAAGTCCTCTTGGTTCTGCTCACTTCACTCAGCATCAGACCATGTAAGTCTTTCCAGGTTTTTCTGAAGTCATCCTGTTCATCATTTCTTATAGCTCAATAGTATTCCATTACATTCATATACCACAACTTGCTCAGCCATTCCCCAGTTGATGGGCATCCTCTCAATTTCCAATTCTTTGCCACCACAAAAAGAGAGCTGCTATGAATATTTTTGTACATGTGGGTCCTTTTCCCATTTGTATGATCTCTTTGGGATATAGCCCTAGAAGTGCTATTGCTGAGTCAAAGGGTATGCATATTTTTATAGCTCTTTGGGTACAGTTCCAAATTGCTCTCCAAAATGGTTGGATCATTTCACAACTCCACCAACAATGTATTAGTGTTCCAATTTTCCCCCATCTTCTCCAACATTTATCATGTTCCTGTTTTGTCATGTTGGCCAATCTGATAGGTGTGATGTGGTACCTCAGAGTTGTTTTGATTTGCATTTCTCTAATCAATAATGATTTAGAGCATTTTTTCATATGACTATAGATGGCTTTAATTTCTTCATCTGAGAACTGTCTGTTCATATCCTTTGGCCATTTATCAATTGGGGAATGGCTTGTGTTCTTATAAATTTGACTTAATTCTCTATATATTTTAGAAATGAGGCCCTCATCAGAGAGACTTATTATACATGTTTTAGAGACGAGGAAACCGAATCTTTGAAAAGTAAATTGACTGGCTTAGGATTAGAAAGCCAGTGGGTTTCAGAGTCAGGACTTGGATCAAATCCTCTTCAGGCTGCATCCAGTGTTGTTTTTGCTGTTGTTCATGATATCACATTGTCTCAAGCTTCGTGGAATACAGTTTTCACCTACACTGAGAAGATGTAGGGAAAAAAATAGGCCTGGTTTAGCAGATTACAAAGCAATAAGCATTTATTGAGTACCTACTGTTGTCAATCTAGTAAATTATTACTATGCTACAGTGGACAGATATGATATAGTCCCTGACCTAAAGGAGTTTACCTACCAAGTCATTTTCTTTAGTTTACTTTCTATTCTTCTGTTTTAGGTGCTGGTAGAGATTGACCAGGTGAAATCCAGAATGCAACTGGCTGCAGAATCCCTTCAAGAAGCAGATAAGTGGAGCACCTTGAGTGCAGATATTGAAGAAACATTCAAGACACAAGTAGGTTGTTTGTACGGGGTTTATTTGAAATATTGTAGAGAAAAGACTAACTAGAGAGATAGAAACCTGGGGAAATCAAATGGAACAGGGTGTGACTATAAAAGCTTAATAACCATAATTAGTGGTTTATACAGGGATGTGGAAGCATAGCAAAGAGAAAATTTGTAACTCTCTGTAGTAATTCTACTTCCCCCACTTTCCCTACTGTCCTGACTTTGGGACCTACAAGCATAAAAGTGTTTCCCTGGGGAGGCCCAAATAAAAGCTTGTAGGGAGAGCAAGCTGGAGTCATCTTGCTTTCATTCTCTTCCCATATCACTGCCTGTCCCATGGTCAGTGTAGATGAGGCTTAATTTTAATATCTGTAAGTAGCATATCTGATTTAATTCTTGACTATATGTATAAGAGAGGAGATGTTTGGAATTGCTTTATGATTTTGCTTTATGATTTGTGATATTCATTTTTGTCTTTGTATACTGAGCACACTGTCTTGTATGTAGCCAATATTTAACATATGATGTAAATGATGATGTTAAATATGATAAAATTAGGTACTATCTACTATGATTTTAAAACATATTCACATCCTCCACACCTGCCCCCCTCCATGATTTCTTTTCTTTCCTTTTTTTTTTGGAGGCAGTCGAAGTTAAGTGATTTGCCCAGGGTCATACAGCTCCCAGATCATTTCTATAGAATGTTTACACACTTTATTGACAATATATACTTTTTTGATTTAAATGTAATTATATAGCTTAAGGTTTGTCACTTTTGAGAACGTAAGTTTTTGTTAATGAATATCCCATGTACTGTCTTCTGATTTTGTTGAAGGATGTGGCTGTGATTTCCGCCAAATTAACCAGTATGCAGAACAGTTTGACCATGCTTGTAGACACACCAGATTACTCAGATAAATGTGTGCACCTTGAGGCATTGAAGAACAGGCTCGAGGCCATGGCCAGTCCACAGATAGTGGCTGCATTCAATTCTCAGTCCATAGGTGAGTACAAGTCTTTTCTGTCTCTATGTCCACTTCTTCCCAAAGAGAAGGCATCGTATTTGACTGGCTGATCATTACTGAGAATATTGTCAACCTGGACTAGGATCATGGGATCCATAAATTTAAAACTAGAAGGGACCAGCCCTCTAATTTTTTAGAAGAGGAGACACTGAAGTGACTGGCCCATGGCTGAATACGTAGTAGAGCTGAGCCTCAAACCTGGCTGGAAAGCCAGCCTGCTTCCCCCTGCATTGTGATCCCTTTCCCAATCCTTTCCATGTTGGATGGAGAGTGAAGCTACTTATGAAATCACTGTGGGCTTCTGACTGTCTGAGAGATGCTGTCTAACTATGTAGAAGTTGCTCTGGTTGCTGGGGTCTGATGCATGACTGCTTCCTAAACCAGGTACATGTGTCCTCCTTTTCCTTGCCTTTCAGTTTACTTATTTTCCTCCCAGGCTCAGTTCAGGTACTGCCTTCTCCTTGTAATCCTCTTTAATCTCTCCAGACATTTGAGTTGTCTCCTTCTGATATCTCTAGAGCTCTTCTTCTGATCCCTCCTTTGCCCCTACGCTCTCTAGGCAGCTAGGTGGTCTTTTGTATGGAGTCCTGGACTTGGAGTCAGGAAGACCTCGATGTGAATCCTGCCTCAGACATTTACTAGCTGTGAGACCCACAATGAGTCACTTCTTGTAGCCAGGTTTCTTATCTGTAAAATAAGGATAGGAATAGCCCCTACTTCCAGAGTTGTTGTAAGGTTTAAAGGACATAATATATGTAAAGAACTTTGCAAAGCCCTATATAAATGTTAGCTATTATTATGCTTATTTATCTATTCATATGCAAGTTCCTTGAGAGCGAGGGCTGTCCTTTTTTTCTTCGTATACTGAGCACAATGCCTTGTATGTAGCCAATGCTTAACATATGTTTGTTGACTGAAATGTAGATTTTGGTTTTGGGGCCATCTCCAGTCATCCTGATCCACATCTGGCCTCTGGATCCAGATGGCTCTGCAGTAGAAAGTGAGGCTGATGACTTTGCACAGCCCTCCTTCTTAAATCCAATTCACTTGTAAGTCATGGCACCACCTTCCTGATGTCATAGTCCTCTTTCAGAACAAAGGACAAATAACAACAGATTTTGGTTAATTTGGACATTGGACTTTTGCTACCATGTTCTCTTTTTCAGCATACTTTTCTACTCAGTTGTTCTTTCTGACCAACCGTTCTTTCCTTGCTCAAAAACCTTTAGTGGCTCCTGGGTGTTTATAGGGGATATATAAAGTTCTTAGCATTTAAAGTCGTACCCAGTCTTATTTCACATCACTGTCTTCTTCACTTGACATTCTAGCCAAACTAGACTGTGAACTATTTCTAGAATCATTGGGTGCCTTCTCACCTCAGTGGAATCATTCCAGACTGCTTTTCGATACACCTAGAGTACATTCCTACTTCATCTCTATCAGTTAAAATCCTTTTCTTCCTTCAAGATCCAGCTCTTCCTTGGGCCTTCAAGCTGAAAGTCATTTCTCTCTCCTCAAACTTTCCTAGAGCAACTTGTCTAGATTTCTCTTTTTTATCTGCTACATACTGCCTTGTATCATCTTTTCCCATCTATTAGACTTAGAGTTTCTTCAGGGCAGGGGCTGTCCTGTTTTTTTATGTGCCAAACAGAATACTTTGCATATAGTGGGTACTTAATAAATGTTTGCTCAGTTTCACTTATTTAATTTAAAAAAAATCTTATTCTTTTTCATGATGAATTTAGGAAACACTAAAAAACCGGAATATTTCCATATGAAAAGAATAATAGAAAAAGACTATTGTATAGATGAAACTGAATTTTATTGTGTGCAGTTGTTTTTTGTTTGTTAAAAAGCATATACTAAATTCAGCACATTAGTTCCAGGAACTGTTCCTTTTGTCTGTTTCCCTCTGAACCATTTTTCTCCCTTCTTTGCATATTTTTGAATGATTCATTGATAATATTTTTTCGTTCTCCCTCCTTCCCTTCTTTTCTCCTTTCTTCCTCCCTTGTCTTTCTACCCTTTTCCCTTCCTTCTTTTCATCCTTCCACAGAGGGCACAGACAGTGCATGTGACATAGCATAGTGATTGTTGTAGAGATGGCAGGGAAGTGAAGTGAATTGTGGCTGGAGCTGGATCTAGATGCAGTGGGCAAACCATCGGGAGAGGATGAAGGAGTTAGAGGGAGAGGACCGGGTATGAAAAGATTATGTCGTCTCTGATTTACTTTCTGTTCTGAGTGTCCAGGACGTGGCCATTGTCATTTTCTTTTTTGATCATCTTTGCCGGTTTGAGGGGTGTGAGTTGAAGTCTCAGTGTTATTTTAATTTGCATATTTTTTATTATTTGTGATTTAGAGGAGGGGTGTCAAAACATGCAACCCTTGCATGCAAATGGTCCATAACACCGAATCAGATTAAAATGTAGCTCCTATCTGATTTTAATGTGTTGGTGTATTAATAAGAAAAAATAAAAACACACACACATATGGTTTTCTGAGTCAATGTGTGGCTCACGGTGATTCCTATTTCCTGTTTAGTGGCCCCCAGATTTGAGTTTGACACCATTGATTTTAGAGCATTTTTTCTCATGGTTATTGTTAGGACTGATAGATTAACATTTAGTAGGATTAACTTGGAACTGATTATTGCCAGCAGGTGGCGCTATACACAGGACTATACTTTCAGTGTCCTTTAAAAATTGAATACTGTGTTGGAAAGCAGCTGTCATATTCCCTCATTTTGTTCGCCATGCATGAAATAAGTAAGAACCATCTTAAAATAGGATAAGAAGATTGGTACTTAGAGTGCATGCTCCATCTGGAACAATGATATTTACAACTTGATTATTATTCTGGAGAATAGGAAAATATTTAGAATACAATTTAAAAAAAAAATCTTTGATATTGGCAGTTTCACAGAACGAGGTAGCTCTAACCAGGAGCTGAATTTCCCAAGGGAGAACTTCGAAAGCTAACACCGATCATCAATATTATTTAAGTGTCATGATGTACTAGTTGACAAAAAGAACCTACAGTGGAATGGTTCCTGCTAGATTACAATCTTAACATTTTAGAGTTGGAAGGAAAGTTAGGGACCATTTGGTATAATTCTCTTATTTTATAGATGAGGAAGCTGAGAACCAGAGAGAATTATATGACTTTATCAAGACTTAAACTAGAATCCAGGTTTCTGTGTTCCTATAAAGTCTGTGGAGTCTTTGAGATTATATTTGGATCAAATACAGCAATGCTCTGTGCACTCTCTCTTCTCCCCTTCTCCCTGTCTTAAAAAATTTGTGACATCATTCTACAATCTATCCTCTTTTATTCAATCTCTGAATAATGAAGTGACCCTTTTCCTTTCTAAGGCAAACCTCTCTCTACTTAGGCATTTGATCCCATCCCCTTCCATCTTCTCTCAAGAATTTTATCTTTACCCACCCCTCCCTAAACTTAAATCTCTTCCTATCTATTGGTTCTTCCCTGATACCTACAAGTATGCCCATTTCCCTCATCCTTAAAAAAGATTAGGCTTTGTTAGATTTTATCATACTTTCAAGTTGTCTTATATCTCTCCTCCATTTCTCCTAGAAAAAGCTGTTTGCATTCATTGTTTTCATGTTCTCTCCTTTTCTTCACTTCTTTGCCCTTTGAATTCTGGTTTCTGATCTCACTTATTTAAAGATGCTCCCTCCACAATTAATAATGATTCCTTAATTGCCAATTTCTTATATTTTGCTATTTCAGATCAGGCCAAAGTATTTGTGAACGTTTTTATGGAAATTGACCGAATGCCTCAACTTCTTGCTTACTATTTCAAATGTCATAAGGTAAGAAATTGTTGAATAGCTATGATTATGCAATGTCAGTAACATTTTGGTGTAGTGGAAAGAATTCTGGATGACATTCAGAAGACCCGAGTTCTATTCTTTCCTTAGTTTAGCTTCTTACTGGATGTGTGTCTGTGAACAAGTCATTTGACCTAAGTGAGCCTCAATTTTCTCAAGTGTAAAATGGAGATATTATTGTTATTAATATTATTATCACCTCCCAGGATTATTGTGAGGATTAAAAGAGACAAGGTGTGTAAGGTACTTTGTAAATGTAAAATTCTATATAAACACGAGTTGTTTATTCTGTGAGATTATAAATCTCTGTCCCCCTTTTGGGATTTTTTTCTTTAGATTTTCCTTTCCAGTAGGAGGTGTTCTTGGCTTAGGCTTTCAACTGGTAGTTTTAAACCATCTTCAGTTTAAAATCTTTCGAATCTTTATATAATGGCATATTGGCAAAAACATTCCTAAAGGAATTAATGTATCAAAGAGAAAATAGTTTGATCTATCCACTTTATCCACTTGAAAAGGTGTTTGTTTTTTTCCTGTTTTTGTGCTCTCTGATTGTAGTTGCTGCCCTGAACTCCATTACCTAACATAATTGGAATTTGGCAAATATTTTGGTATTGAAATTGGATATCAAAAAAGTTTGAAAGTTGCTAACTATAGCCCTAATCCCTTCAAATCCTATCCTCCAGTGGCTTTTAAGGACTAGTATTTAGGGTATTAGGACGTGGAGCTTTCAAGGCTTTCAGTAATTGGGAATTATTTTGTGTGTGTGTGTGTTTACATATAAGCTGATAGATGTACATGCATGTTTTTTCTCTGTGGTATTGTTTCAGAGAATGCCACATGGTGGTAAGTCATTTTTCCTGCCAGGAGGGAAAAACTATCCCATTAAAATATCCTTGGCTTCTCCTTTATAGGCACAGCTTTTGGCATCCTGGCAGGATCTTTGCCAGAGTGACCTACCTTTAGACCGACAGCTGACTGAATTCTATGACACTTTGCTTGGTGCCTGGCACACCAACTCCAGTGGTCTATGCAGGTAAGTATGTATGAAGAGAAAACAGAAGAAAGTCAAGATTATTTAAAAAAGGTGTCCTCATATTTAATCTCCAAAAGAGTCTCAGAAATTAGCCAGACAATCTGCTTGAAGAGTTAAGCCATTTAGTGTCACCAAAAGGGTCAAAAGATCAACTTAGAAACTCTCATCTGTAATGCTGCTTGGTTGCTATTAAAATTCTTCTTATCACTTTTATTTGTATCTTAAATAGAATCTAATGTGACCAAGTGATGCCTTTGTTCAGTTAGAGAGCATGTAAAATTCCTGAATGTCTTTATCTTCTTATCTAAAAGCCAGAGGAACTCAATCTGGTAGTATTTTATTACTCTTTTGTATCTTTACACATGGAGTAACATTCTACTGTCTGGAAGTTTCCCACGTTATCAGTACATCCGAAATATTAGAAAAATTTGTCTAAATCTACTATGAAATTGACCTCTGTTTAGGGGGAAGGGAGAATTGTGGGTCATGTATTTCAACTTAAGACAATCTAAAGTTGCTTTTCCCTAAACCTTTAAGTCTTTTAAAGCCATGACAATTTTCTTTACTTGAAACTTTTAAGATGCAGTATTTTCTTTTTATGGGCAGCTCAGTGGTATGGTGGATAGAGTGCTGGACCTGGAGTCAGGAAGACTCATTTTTCTGAGTTCAAATATGGCCTCAGACACTTATTAGCTATGTGACCCTGGGCAAATTACTTAACGCTCTTTGCTTTAGTTTCTTTATGTAAAATAAACTGTAGAAGGAAATGGCAAACCTCTGGAGTATCTTTGCCAAGAAAACCCAAATGGAGTCACAGAGAGTCAGACATGACTGAAAAAAACAACTGAGCAACAATAGTCCTATGAGAGGAAAAACTGACCCTGCTTTAGTGCAATGTCTTGCAGGGCCTGTTTGAAATGTGGCTATTTTTTCTAATTAGTTATGAATCATTCTTCAAGTGTTCAGTCATTCATTGTTATGTGTCATACAAAAGGCTAACTTTTTTTTTAAAAAAGAGCTCGCTGTACACAATAATGTCATTCACTTAAATTGAAGGACTTTCCCTATATCCCTAACTCCTTCTCTTTGTGTTAGACCAAGCCATTCTTGTATATGTTTTTTTAAAAATAATTGTGGGTACATATCAGTTTTCGCTTGGATATCATACTGCATTGATCCTGTCCACACTTACTTATGCCACTCCACTCCTTCTACTACTTCCTGTATTACTAGAATAAAAAAAACCCTCTGCTTTTGTCTAAAGAAGCTCAGACAGTTCACATTCATATAAATGCCTGTAAAAATCTAAGAAAAGGGAAGGAAAGCACATAGTAAAAAGGTATGTTTTCATTCCTTGTGCCAGTTGAAGATCAGTAGAATTTAGAAGAAGCACTGAAGGGGACAAGGAGAAATGCATTTACATCTCTAGGTTTTAAAATGTCCTATTTAGATATCTCTATAACCATGTTGATGAATTTTAATCTTAATGTAATTTGAAAAAATTTTGATTTTGCTGTGGTCTAGAGCAGCTGTGTCAAACTCAAGTAGAAATGGGGGCCACCAAGCTGTACATAAAGATCCTGTGGGCTGCCTATTAGTCCAAGTAAGTAAAGTCAGTAGGCATTTCTTAAGCACCTACTGTGTGCCAAGCACTTTGCTAAACACTAGATATACAAATGCAAAAAAACCCCAAACAGTCCTTGTCCTCAGGGAGCTTATGTAGTGAGGGAAAACACACAAAAGGAAGCTGAAAAGGTGGAAGATGTGGTACCTAACACTGGGGCATGATATTGAAATCAATCAGAGAAGTCCCAAAGTAGTTTATCCTGGTAAGAGATGAGATGTCTCTGAACTGAGCTCTCTCCTTAAATGGAGATTTGGGGTTCATGGCCCAAGAGGCTGAGGGTTAGGGATGAGATGGAGTACCAAGACTGATAAGATCTTACGAGATGATGAAGTTATCCCAAGAATGAGCTTCCTGGGGCATGGTGAAAAAGTCAGGGAAGGCCCAGAATTTTATAGCCAGGTGAGAGATGAGTAGGTATACGAACTTAGAAAACCACATATCAGTATTGTTGTTCAGTCCTTATCTATGTTCTATTGTATTTTTATTCATTTTTATTAAATATTTCCCAATTACATCTTAATTTGATTCCGTGGCACTTGGGAAGGTTGTGGCCATATGTTTGATACTTCTGATTTAGAGCAGCTATCTATTAATTCAACAGCTTCACATGTACTAGAAAACTCTGAGAATGAAAAACTATGTGGTTATTGAAGCATAAGTAGAAATAATAATGAAGGTTCATTACCACCCATATTACTTAACAAGAGTTCAAGAACAGAAGAAAGTTAATTAGTACTCTTTATATAGCTTTGTATCTAATCCCTTTGAAATAGCTTGTCACCCACCTCCCCCAACTATTTAAGTAAAGGACCAAAACAAGGTAGACAGATGGATTAGTGTAATACAAGAAAAGACTTTCTGTTTTTCTGTTGGAGTAGCTTTCTGATACTGTACTCTCGTGTTTTTTCCTCTATTTTTTCTTTCAGTATGATGCCTCCTTTTTCTTGAGTCAGGTTGTGGGATAGAACCTATCTTCTCAGAATTTTTTTTTTGTGGGGGCTAGGCAGTGGGGTTAAGTGACTTGCCCAGGGTCACACAGCTAGTAAGTGTCAAGTGTCTGTGGCTGGATTTGAACTCAAGTCCTCCTGACTCCAGGGCTGGTGCTCTATCCAGGGCTGTGCCACCTACCTGCCCCAAGAATTTTCATTTCTTACAAGGAAAAATGACTGGTGCTCTTCATCCATTAAAAGCCTTTATTGTTAAACTTCACTGACTATTCATTCTCAGCAGTTACATCTGATGATGTGATCCTGGTTGATATGAGTACACTTTCAGTTCTCCTGTCTTCTTAGATATGCTTGAAAGTTATCTGCCTTAGTATTTTCCTTAACTACTAATAATGCTTGTCAGTAACGGTTACTTTCAAAGAGAGAACATTGTATAGTTTCTTATTTGATTGCCTCAACCATAACAAAGTTGTCATTCTATTTCATGTTTTTAATTTTATAAATGTAGACCTTCAGTGCTATAAGTACTAGAAGAAAAGTAGCTATCATTTTATGTGGATATGTAAATAGAAAGAATAAAGAAAAATAAAGTACAACTAGTCATTCCAGAGTACAAAAACACTCAAGGAAATCCAAAATTAAGAGATGGCAAGAATAGATAGTTAGTATAGGATGAAAGATGAAAAATGAAAATATTCTGAAGAATAGGAAAGGGCGTTATTACTAAATATCTTATTCATTCATTAAGGATTAATTGATGCCTGCTGTTGGAATTATAGGAGAAATATTATAGTCCTGACACTCTAGGAGTTTTTCTCCCCTAGTTGGAGAGAGAAAACATGAAACTAGTAGCAAAGCAAGGAAATCTGTCATTTATCTTCCTGCTAGACTTAATCAATCAATGTGTGTTTATTAAGTGCCTGCTGTATGTCAGCCATTTTGTGAGGATTTGGGGATGCAAAGATAAAAATGAAATAGTCTTTACCCTCGAAGAGCTTACATTCTAGAGGGAGAGATAACATAAACTAGACTGTGATTTCACTGTTATAGGAAACCTCTTGGTGAGAAAAATATGAGAGATGTATGCTAATAATATAGCTCGGTACCTTCTATATGAGTTATAGAACACTAAAGGGTTTAATGACCTGCCTGGGGTTACATAGCTAGTATGTTTCAGAGTCAAAACTTGAACATAGGTCTTTCTGGTTCTCAGACTAATTCTCCATCCACTATGCCACTGGTCTCTCTTATATGTGCATGTAAATATATATTAAATATATCCAGAATAAATACAAAGCAACCTTTTTTTTCCTCCTCGTAATAGCTGAATAGACAGTAAGTTCCATGAGGGCGGGGGAAATGTCTTACCTAACTATTCCACTGAATTTAGTGTTTTGTACACAGGAGGTGCCTAATAAATTGTTGAATGCTAAACTGAAAAATTGAATCATATAGCACATAAGTACCCTAGCATGTGAGAAAAAGAAGAGATAATTGTAGAATAAAATAGTGGGAGAAATTCTTATAGAAGTAGTAGGGAATCAACCTGGTTCTTTTTTTTTAAAAAATATTTTTAAAATTTTATTAATTTATTTTGATTTATCAACAATCACTTCCATATGCTTTTGAGTTTAAAATTTTTCTCCCCCTTGCTCCCCCCCACCCTCCCCAAGATGGTGCATGATCTGATATAGGCTTTACATTTATGTTCCTATTAAACATATTTTCACATTAGTGAAGTTGTAAGTAAAAATTAAAACCAATAGGAAGAACCATCAGAAAGATGAAACAAAACTCAACAGAAGAGAAAAAAAATGATAGCGATTCAACTTCCATAGTTCTTTCTTTGGATATGGATAGCATTTTCCATCATGAGGCCTCTGGAGATGTCTTAGATCCTTGTAATGCTGAGAAGGATTAAGTTCATCAATATTAGTCATCGCACAACGTGGCTGTTATTGTGTACAAAGTCCTCTTGGTTCTGCTCACTTCACTCAGCATCAGACCATGTAAGTCTTTCCAGGTTTTTCTGAAGTCATCCTGTTCATCATTTCTTATAGCTCAATAGTATTCCATTACATTCATATACCACAACTTGCTCAGCCATTCCCCAATTGATGGGCATCCTCTCAATTTCCAATTCTTTGCCACCACAAAAAGAGCTGCTATGAATATTTTTGTACATGTGGGTCCTTTTCCCATTTGTATGATCTCTTTGGGATATAGCCCTAGAAGTGCTATTGCTGAGTCAAAGGGTATGCACATTTTTATAGCCCTTTGGGTAGTTCCAAATTGTTCTCCAAAATGGTTGGATCATTTCACAACTCCACCAACAATGTATTAGTGTTCCAATTTTCCCCATCTTCTCCAACATTTATCATTTTCCTGTTTTGTCATGTTGGCCAATCTGATAGGTGTGATGTGGTACCTCAGAGTTGTTTTGATTTGCATTTCTCTAATCAATAATGATTTAGAGCATTTTTTCATATGACTATAGATGGCTTTAATTTCTTCATCTGAGAACTGTCTGTTCATATCCTTTGACCATTTATCAATTGGGGAATGGCTTGTGTTCTTATAAATTTGCTTAATTCTCTATATATTTTAGAAATGAGGCCTTTATCAGAGAGACTGTTTGTAAAAATTCTTTCCCAATTTTCTACCTTCCTTCTAATCTTAGTTGCATTGGCTTTGTTTTGCAAAAACTTTTCAATTTAATGTAATCAAAATTATCCATTTTGCTTTTTGTAATGTTCTCTGTCTCCTGTTTGGTCATGAATTCTTCTGTTTCCCATAGATCTTATAGGTAAACTATTCCTTGTTCTCCCAGTTTACTTATAGTATCAGCCTTTATATCTAAGTCATGAACCCATTTTGACTTTATTTTGATATAGGGTGTGAGATTTGGGTCTATGCCTAGTTTCTGCCATACTCTTTTCCAGTTTCCCAGCAGTTTTTTTCAAAGAGTGGGTTCTTATCCCAGAAGCTGGGGTCTTTGGGTTTATCAAATAATAGATTACTATAGTCATTGACTACTGTGTCTTGCATATTTAACCTATTCCACTGATCCACCACTCTATTTCTTAGCCAGTACCAAGCAGTTTTGATGATTGCTGCTTTCCAAAACAATTTAAGATCTGGAATTGCTAGGCCACCTTCCTGTGCATTTCTTTTTCTTAGTTCTTTGGATATTCTGGACCTTTTGTTCTTCCAAATGAATCTTGTTATTATTTTTTCTAACTCTATAAAATAATTTTTTGGTAGTTTGATTGGTATGGCACTGAATAAGTAAATTAGCTTAGGTAGGATTGTCATTTTTATTATATTAGCTCGGCCTACCCATGAGCAACTGATGTTTTTCCAGTTACTTAGATCTGATTTTGTTTGTGTGAAAAGTGTTTTGTAATTGTGTTCATAGAGTTCCTGGGTTTGTTTCGGGAGGTAGACTCCTAAATATTTTATGTCTACAGTAAGTTTAAATGGAATTTCTCTTTCTATCTCTTGCTGTTGGGCTTTGTTGGTAATATATAGAAATGCCGATGATTTATGTGGGTTTATTTTATAACCTGTAACTTTGTTAAAGTTGTTTATTATTTCAAGTAGTTTTTTACTTGACTCTCTAGAATTCTCTTAAGTATATCATCATGTCATCTGCAAAGAGTGATAGCTTTGTTTCTTCTTTGCCTATTTTAATACCTTCTATTTCTTTTTCTTATTGCTAAAGCTAATGTTTCCTCAACCTGGCTCTTAAAAAGAAGGTAGGATTTAGATAGGTGAAGATAAGCAAAGTGGCAAGGGAGCAGTATGAACATGTTTAGAGGACAGTAAGGATATTGGTCTGGCTGAAGTACAGGGTTTATATTGGGAAGAAGTGGTAAATCAGATTAGATAGGTAGAATGGGACCAGATGAAGCAAAGCTTTGAAAGCCAGGCCAAAATTTTATGTATAGTATCTCATAGACATTGAGGAAATAATAGATTATTTTGAGCAATATTAAAATTGATGTGTTAAGAGAATTTTAGTTTGGTGGTAGTACATAGGATGGATTTATAAAGGAGAGATTAGAGATAGGTATATTAGGAAGCTGTTGTATTCAGTGTATAAAGTGATAATCCCCCTGGATAGGGTAGAGTGGGAATGGAAAAAGGCCTGGTGGCCCAAGAGATATTCTGAATCAGCAAGCCTTGAAAACAGATTAGGTATAGGGCATGAAATAAAGGAAAGAATAAAAGATAACTGTTAAGTTTCAGAATAGTGGTACAATAGATGAATATGTGGAAATTGAGAATTGAGTCAAGATTGAGAGGGGGGAAAATGATTATTTTGCTTTTGAATGTGTTGAGTTCAAGATTATAGTTGATATCCTATAGACAGGGGAAGATATGGAACTATAGCTTAGGTGAAATACTGGGTCTGGAAATGCAAGTTTGAGAATCATCAACAATTTATCCATTTGGTAAGCCATTTTATTATTATTCTGATTTGTTTTATTTCCTTTCAACTCTTGTTTTCTTTCAGACTGTAAATAAGACCCAAGTCTAGCAATTAGATTTGTAGTTTATAATTCAGGGTTAAATATCTATTTCTAGAGATTCTTTAAGAAAATGTAGAAGTTCAATGTATTGATTTGTTTGCTGATTTTTTTACTCTTTCTTTTTTATTAAAAAAATACTGTTTGTTATATGGGATAGCTCTCAGGGAGAGAGAGAGAGAAGGGATACTGGAAAAAACTATGAGGATATAAAAAAAGACATCAATGAAAACATTAAAAATAATGTAGAAAACCACCTGTTTTGAATGTATCAGAAAGTAGCTGGCTATATTGAGCCTTTTGAAATTCCTTCCAACTTTGATTCAGTTTATGATTATTCTTTGATACTATTTCTTTTCGACGTCTTTGATAGTCCTGTAATAGCAGGACTGTCTTTTTATTTATTTATTTTTTAGAAGGGCTATCTTTTCAGTTTGATTGTTGATAGCCATTTCTGTGTACTGAATGAAAAGTCAAGTGGGAGATTTGCAAATAGCCAATTATATAGCAAAGGTCCTTGCTTAAAGTCATAATGGGAAGCCCTTTGGCTGCTAGCTTTTTACCAGACCATATTATAGTCCATCTGTGATGTCATTAGTGATGTTTATGGGCTATATTGGGAACAAATTGATTGAAGTGGAAAGTGGCTACTATTATAAGCCACTGGTACTTACTGGGTTAGAGGGCTTTTTATGAAACTAGTACATTTCTTCCACACCGCAGGTCTTCAAGAATCCTCATGAGGTGGTGACCGTGCTTCTGATTCAGACGTTGAATGCTTTGGTACCCTCTCTGCCAGTCTGCCTGGAGTCTGGAGTGGAGAGAGTGGGGCCTGACACAAGGCTCACCAAGCTCCTAGAACTCTATGACACCACTGCCCACTTTGCCAAGGGTCTGGAGATGGTGCTTCTCTCGCACTCCCGTAAGGAGTTTCTCTCTCTCTGTCTCTGTCTCTCTCCTCTTTCTCTATCACTCTTCCGCCCTGCTCCCCCATCTCTCTTGTTTCACTTGTTCTTTTTGGAGATTGCAGAGCCTGGCTTTGTTTGCTTTCTAAGATAACCACTTTAACAGAAATAGAAAGAAACAACATTCCTAGTCTCAATAGGTAATTAATACTTTATATAAAAATGTGTTGCAATTTTAGTCCATCACTCAGTAGCAACCAAAGGTTAGTTGCACTTTATTTAACCTAGGAAATCTTGTTTGTTTCTCAGTGAGCTTTGTGATTAGATGAGACCAGGTAAAGAGAACAGTTGGAAGGACTGTGCATGATGTTGGAGGTGTATTGTTTCTTCAGGTCTTCTTAGAACTTCAGCTAATCTGAACTAAAATTAGACTTAGAAGAAAAAAATAGGCTTAGGAGTCAGGAATCTCTTCTGATCTCTACAGTGGCTCTTCCTTGGAGAGGAAGAAATCATTTTTAAAGTATCAGCTATGTAAATATCGAGATATGTATTTGTGAAATACCTAGTTAGAGGGTACTCTCTTCTTGTGAAGGAGCAGGGAGGAGAAACAGTGGCTGATTAGGTGGAGATGGAGGCTGTTTCAGGACTAGGGGTTAGCATGGCTGTAGGATCATAGATTGAGAACTAGAAGAGACCTTAAAGGTCATTTAGTACCAGTCCCCAAATAAGCATGGGCTATGGTGGCCATTCCCCCGTGTACTTTATGAGCAGAGAGAACTCTTCATTCTCTTTTGGGCAAACAGTACATGGTGTGTTGTTTTCCTAGTCATTTTTCCATCTATTTTAAAGCATCATAAATTTTTAGTTACATGAACCTTGGGACACATGTTGGTGTGTAATCCGGAAATTGCCTAGGTAAGGTCTTGTTCTGCCATTTGGTTGGTGTGTGTCACTGACTTGGTTTATTTAATAGTTATTCTCTTTAATTACATTTGCTTATAATTGTTTGTACATTCCAGGGAGTGTTTATTGTTCAGTTTCTGGTGATTCATAAGGTATTCTTGGCGCACTCACTGGTCAGGCTTTAATTATGGGAGGCAGGAGATCCACTGTGGATATTGCAGAGAAGTAATCTCCAAAGGAATGGGATATACTTGGCACCAGAATTAAAAGTTGTGAGATTAGGCATGCTACTGGAGACAGGGTGGAGTGAGGTTAGAGGCAGATGAATCAGTTGCATTCATCAAACGTGGTACTAGGTATTGGAGAAGAGGAAATCTTTTAAAATATCAGCTTTGAAGGTCCTTTTTTGGCCCATGATCAGAATATGTCAGACATACATATAAAATGCCTACTATATGTGAAGTTTTGGGGATACAAAGACAGGCAAAAAACAGTCCCTACCTTCAAAGGTGCTTACAGTCTAATGGGAGAGATAACATGCAAACAACTGTGTACAAACAAGAGACATACAGGATAAACTGGAAGTAATCAACAGAGGGAAAACACTAGCATTAAGGGGGATCACAAAAGACTTCTTGCAGAATTTGGGATTTTAGCCATAATTTAAAAGAAGTCAGAGAAGACAGGAGGCAGAAATGAGCAGAAAGAGAATTCCAGGCATGAGAGACAGCCTGTGAGTCCAGGAATTGAGTGTTTTTGTTCAAGAAACAGCTTGTTGACTTGACAGATAGACATAGACACACACATATCCATATTTATATTTTAATACTTCATATTAGAGTCTACTGGTTTTTCCCCCCACAAAGCAACAGAAAAGTACCAGAGGCTAGAAGTGTTCCCTTATATGCAGAATTATTTCTTAGTAGCTTACCTTTTAGTAGTTCATGTGATGTAAGTTAAGTTGTTAAAATTTAAACTCTAGAGATGCCTAAAAATAGTAGGTTATGAGGTTAAGGAGCTGGTGTCTTTTAATAATATTCTAATAGCAGAACAGGCAAGGCCTATGTTTATTTAATAGTCTGTATTTGCAAGCCAGAGAGTTGACTGAAATGTTTTTAGAAATGATTGTTGATTGAAGAAGCCTCCATAACAGAAGAAGCAGGTGACAAAAGCCTAATGACATCATTTTAAGAGTTATTAGGGCATTTTTCAAGTACTTGAACACTAACATAGCAGATGGAGTAAAAGGAAAGTTGCTTATTTACCCTTTTCCAGAAGTTTGGTTTAAATTTCTAGTTGACTTGTCTTTCAAATTGCTGATTCCTTATAGGAGAACACAACTTGGTGAAGGTCATGGAACTGGTGGAAGCTGTGTATGGCCCATACAAACCCTACCAGCTACAGTACGGAGAACTGGAAGAGAGTCATCTCCTCATTCAGATCAGTGCTGTCCCTTTGGTAATGTAATAATCCTGTGCATTAATCAACACATATTTAGTATTTCTGTACTAGATATTCTTGTAAGTGTTGTGAGGGCTACAAAGAAGTATTAAATCCAGACCCCACTCTTAAGGGGATTTACAATCTAAATGTCAGTGATAAAATAACAAATTCCCATTTAAGGATTCTTTGGTAAATTAGAGGTTTAAATGTTCTGGATAAACTGATGACTTCCTAATATTTAGCAAACCTCTTTTAAACAAATTATTTATTATTTGAGATAAGATATGAAAATGAATCATAGACAAATAGAATTCATGGACAGCCCTATAAGCTCAAGTGTCTAAGATTCTTGACAATTTTGAAAATGATATTAGCAGTGGCAGTCTTAATTTGCCATTTTTATCTTCCTCAGTCTCTTGTTGTGAGTTATTTTTTGCCATTGGGCAAGAAGAGAATGTTGTCATTGAGGTATATTTATTTTCTTCTAGAGAATTTGATCACCAACTAGAAATCTGTGGGAGCAGTCAACTTAATAACTATTTTAAATAAAGGAAAGAAATGGAAAATATTAGTTTTAATAAAACATGCTTATGTCAGAAATTTGTTTCTGCAATCATACTGATATCTTAAGCATGTCTTCTATGGTTGCGATTTCTAGGTGCTGCCACAGGTTTTGTGTATGTTCCTGTTAAACGACTTTCTTGCTGGTGAAGTTTAAAGGTCCTAGAATTAAATTCCCTTTTATTCTCCCCATATGTTTATAGTATTGATTAGTCTAGCTTAAAGGTGTCACATGTTTGCACGTGTAGCCAGTGAGCTGCATTGTGGCAGGCAACACTCCTGAGTGTAGCTTGAACCAGGTTAAAATGTAATTGGGAAATATTTAACAAAAGAAATAAAAATACAGTGGAACACAGATAATGTTAGTGTGTGGTTTTCCAAGGTCAGTCTCAATATGCAGTCCAGGGGGATCCACATGCATGATTTAGTGGCCTAGATTTATATTTGAGTTTGTCACCACTGGTCTGGATGTCCTTGTGTCTAATGCAGCTTTTGTTTTGTTCTTGTTTGATGACCAGGAACATTGGGAAGTTATTGACTGTGTTCAGGAGCTGAGCCACTCAGTGAATAAACTCTTTGGTTTGGCCTCAGGAGCTGTGGATAGATGCATCAAATTCACAGATGGACTGGGGACTTGTGGGCTTCTGTCAGCCCTGAAATCTCTTTTCACAAAGTAAGTCAGTGCTATCCCATGTAGAGAAATAGAAGTAGAAAGGAGCCCATTAGGTCTGCCTTCAGGTAAATGAATGCCTAAGTCATGAAATTCTAGAATCTTGATAACTTATTTCAGAGTAAAATTGCCCTGATGGTCAGTACCTTTATTCTTGTGTTGAACTGAACAATCTCTTATTGTAATAAGATTAGCCTGATCATCCCAGAATTTCTGAACAAGTTATTGAGAGTTCTGAAGTTCAACAAGAGGGTTTTGTGACCAGGAGTGGGTTAGTCACTGCCAGGTGTAGTTAGAGGATTGTTAACAGGGTAGAAGAGATACTACCAAATTCCTTTTATGCTATAAATATGGTTTTTATACCTAAACTAGGGAGAGTTGAAACAGAAAACTATAGACCAATATCCCTAATGCATATCGATGCAAAAACTTTAAATAAAATATTAGCAGAGGCTATAGCAACATAAGAGAAAAATCATACCTTATAACCAGGCTGGATTTGTAAGGTTGGTTCTGTTGCCCACAACCAGATTGTACACCGAACAGAGAGGTGTGAAATAGCTTGAGATATGGGCCAGGAGGAGCATCATTACTGACTCAGTTTATTCATCTGAGGGTACAGGATATATAGAGAAAATCTAGCCTAACTTCAAAGAGTCCTCCCCGTGAGATACTCACCAGAACATCTGCTGAGGACGTGACAACATAAATTTCCTCGATATCAGGGTTCCTAGATTGGGTTGTATATTCCAAGGTTTTCCCAGGCGCCTTGGCGCCACCTGCATAGAGGAGTGAATGTGTAAATCTAAGGTTCAAAGAGTGAGAAGGAACGTCTCAGGGACCTTGTAATCAGGAAGGGATTGGAGAGCCGTACCACTTAATCATTGAACCCTTTCTGGTAAAAGCCTGGGCAGAGGTCAAACTCTGCCTTGGATCTTAAACCCTTATCAGACTCTTAAGATCAGCCCTCAACAGGTTCAATGTTAGGAAAGTGATAAACATAATACACCAGATAGAGAACCAAAAATCACAAGATTTTATCACTAGGTGCAGAAAAAGCTTTTGACAGAAAACAATTCATATTTATTTCTATTAAAAACATTAAAAAGCCTATGAATACATGGACTTTTCCTTAACATGGTGAACTATACCAGTCTAAAACCAAGAATCAACATTATGTGTAAAGGGAATAAACCTGAAGCCTTTCCATTAAGGTCAGAGGTAAAGCAAGAATGTCTTTTATTACCACTATTTTTTGCTATGGTGCTAGAAATGTTAGCTATAGCAATAAGACAAGAAAGAGTGTGTGTTGGAGAAAACAAAACAGTTGCTTTTTGCAAATGATATGGTTTACTTCAAGAACCCTAACAAGTCAACTAAAAGTTAACTTAAATAATAATTTCAGCACACTTCCAGGATATAAAATAAGTCCACATAAATCATCAGCATTTCTTTATATTACTGACAAAACCCAGTAGAAGGAGGAATTCTATTTAAAATAACTCCAGAATGTATAAGATTCTTGGGAGTCTGCCTTCCAAGGCACAAACAGGAACTATATGAAAATAATTATAAAAGCATTCTTTGCAGAATTATAGACATAAATAATTGGAGAAATTTTAATTGTTTACAAGTAGGCCAAATTAATGTAATAAAAATAAAAATACCACTTAAATTTATTTGGGACCATACCAATCCAACTACCAAAGGATTACTTTATAGAGCTAGAAAAAGTAATAATAAAATTATTCTGGAGGAACATAAAGTTAGGATTCTCAAGGGAAATAATGAAAAAAAGTGGGAAAGTAGGAGGCCTAGCAATACCAAACCACAAACTATACAAAGCAATAGTCATTAAAATGATTTGGTGCTGGTTTTAAAAAAAACCCCAACAAAACAGAATGTGGTATGTAGTGGGTTCAGCTGTTTTAAAATTTGAATCAGTGAAGAGGGAACATCATTAAGATTCCTGACAGCACTTACATTTAATGGGACAGTCTAGGCAGAAACAGTTTAAATTGAAGTGATTCGACAAATCTAAATTGAGACCAGATAAACACAAATAATTTTTTTATGAATGCTAGAGAACTATAAATATATAATAAAGTGTAAATTTGCTGACAAATTATCCACTTCCCCTACCACAACCCCTCAAAAAAGAAATAAAGGAATATTGAATATTGAAATATTGAAGAAATATTGAAAGTTACTGAAGTGGTTAGCATTGGGTCAGGCTAGTCTGGCAATTTAAGAGAAGTGATAAAAGGAGAAAGGTACATGGTTTAATGGAAAGAAGAGTAAAGGGGAAGGAATTCTAGGTTAGGAAAAAGGCAGGGGTAATGAGTCTGTGGTGAGAGAGGGTAAAGCACATGAGGGAGATGTGAATGCCCTTTCTTAGCTGGAGCAAAGATAGTGGTGTGGCATGTAGCAGAGGACAGAGGCAGTTAGATGAGGAGAGGGCATTAACACAGTGATGAAGAGTTTTAATTAGGTATGAAATTGAGAGCTATTGGAGGGTTCTAGGAAGATAAATTATATGATTAAAGCCACACTATAGTTGAAAAGCTTTGTTATGCAATGTTATACTATACTTCTGTAATGAGCGTGCTCAGTATTACTAAATTTTAAAATGAAATCAGTGAAAAATGAAAATTGCAGATAATTCCTAAGAACTGAGTCTAACTTGGATTCTCTTTCCTAAAATGAATACTAGTAATATGTTGATATTTTTTTTCCTTTTTTCGTGTAACAGATTTTATTTTAAAATTTTTATTGATATCTTTTGTTTTTATTTCACTTTAATTTCCCGATAGATCCTTTCCCTATCCCCTTCCCAGGGACTCATCCCTCTTAATGAAAATTAAAAAAGAGAGGGGAAAAAAAAGCAGTTCAGCAAAACTAGCTAGTACATCAACTTAGTCTGACAGGATATGTAGCGTTTTATACCCATACTCCTCTACTGCTGCAAGGAAGCTATGTTTCTCCCCTCTTCTCAAGGCTCAGCTGATTCTTTTCCAGAGAATGACATAGAAACTGTCCAGAAATTATCACACTTATTTTCTTGGAGAACTTTGACATATGAGGTTTGGATAATGCACATGAATTGTTGTATGGTATATCCTGAAAAATACTTATTTGTTGTAGTTGCAGAAGTGACAAAATTGTTCAGCCTCTTACAGCTGAAACGTACAACGAACACTACATTCCCCCACATTCTACTGCTGGTTTAAGATTCCCTTCACTTCCCTAGAAGCCAAGAAAATTGTTAACCTTTCTTTGCTTTAAGAAAAGGGACTATGAGTAGAGTCTTAGCTTCATAGCTTTCCTCTTTTTAAAAACTAGTTTATAAAGGTGAGAGGAATCTTCTTATGGGCTGTGAGAGGATTTTGAAAGGGAATCAGATAAGCCCTTTGCCATAGTGATAGGCTTTTAAGCAATGATTCCCAACTGGGCTTTTAGATGGCTTCTCTCCCCTTTGCCTGTAGGATTTGGCCCAAGGGGAACTGTTGTACACTTCAGTCATTTTTATGTTCCTTCTTTGAGGAAGTTGTAAAGGGTTTTATTGTGTAGACAAATATATTAGGGTGCTCTTGACTTCTGGAGGATCCTAATAGCCCACAGAGGACATGTAGCCCTTCTTTCTGTCGTAAGGATATTCTTGTAACCATACTGTCTTACACTATGATACTTTATGCTTTTGAAAGCTACTTTAATGTACATTATCTCATTTTTTTCCTCATAAAAATTCTGTCTGGTAGGTAGGGTAGGTATTATTATTTTCTTTGGACTAAATGATATGTTAAGGTCCCTGATGTATCTAACATGATGTGATTTATGAATTAGTAGTAAAGGCATAGGGATTAGATCTGGGATTTCTTGATGTAGGGACCTCTCTGCAGGATGGGTCCTTCTCTATAATTTGTAGTCTTAGAGAGTGGCCTAGAATACCAAGAGGTCACACCTCTCATGTGGGTCAGAGGCAGGATGTGACCCAGGTCTTCTTGGCTCTGAGGCCGGCTCTCTGTCCACTCCACCGCACTTCTTGAAATGAGTCTAGAAAATGAATAGGCCCAGAGATGCTAAGGGAGTTGTCCCAGTGCTGCCCGTGACTAAGTGTTGCATCAAACGGAGGAGTGTGCAATAAAGAGACATGGGCCAGGCAGGTCAGTGAAAGACTGAGCCATTTACTATTCTGAGGGTCCGATTATATAGTGAAAGATAACAATCATCCCGAGGCATTCCCATGATTCTTATGTGACTAATCCCAGCCCTTATGCACATTCTTAATCGTCCACACCTGCTTGCCATCAAGGTTCAAGGGGCAGAGTATTCTAATACCTTCCAGGCAAGAAGTTGGTGAGCCAAATATTCTGAATAAATAAGCCCTTATGGGTAGGAAAAGGAAAGAGTCAAGCTCTAACCTAAATTCCTTATCCCATATTAGACTCTTCAGCTCTGGCCCTCAACACCTAGGACATAACAATAAACCAGTAGTGAAACGGGAATTGGAAGCATGGTTTCCTGGCCTAGAGTCCAGTTCACACTTTGCCATACTAAGGTCACCTGGAAATTTGATACATACCAGCTGTTGGCCTCAGTTCTTGTTTTTAGCCTGCATCAGAGATAGGAAAGATCAGACTGAGAATACTCTATACAGTTGGGTAGGAAACAAAAATGTCATCCTCAGACACTATTCGAGTTAGAAGGAACATTAGAGGAAGCTGAGGCCAAGAGGGGAGAAGTGACTTAACTCATGGCACAGACGGCCAAATCCCAGGTCTGCTGACTTCTAGTCCAGTCCAGTGAAAATTATCAACATTTATTTTGGTCAACTTTTTTAATAAAGAAATGCATTTTTCTAGGTAATCAGCTCTTTGGTCAAGATCGTGTATTTATTTCATGTGTCTTCTAGATTTGAGGGGTTTACTGAAAACTTGTCTTCTTTCTTTTTTTCCCTCAAAGGTATGTATCTGATTTCACTAACACCCTCCAGTCAATCCGAAAGAAGTGTAAACTTGATGATATTCCTTCCAGCTCCCTTTTCCAAGAAGATTGGACAGCTTTCCAGAACTCTGTTAGGTAAAGTGGGAAATGGGATGTAAGGAAAAAAAATACGGGAGGCATGAAGCTCTGTAGTATCTTCTATGAAAAATGTGTATAGGAGTTGTAATTTTTCTCTTTCATTGCCTTTTTTTAAAAAAGCAAAGTGAATGCCATAGACAAAACAAAAGCTATTTTCTCCATTATCCCCCATTGTCCATTCCCAGACTCCTGGAATCTTGGAGGGAAAAAGAAAAAAGTTCTTTTGAATTCTTCTCACACTTTCGTGACTCTTAATAGTTTTTTAAAAATTTGAATGGTTTAATACTTCTTTACCCCCACAGCCAAGTTTGTACAGAGCCAAATGTATTCCTCAAATTAAAAAACAAAACACTCCAAAACACAGTTGATTTAGCTCAATAATGTCTTCTAGTATAATTGAGTTAAGTCAAGTGCGGTGGGCAAACAAATTTAAATAGAATGGAAGAAATGAAAAGACATTTTCTTGTTTGGAAACCTAAAATGATTTCCTTTGTTAAGAATTGGGACAATTAATCTGGAATAAGTCTACTTAAGTGAAATTACTTAAAATAGGGACCATTTTTTAGTAAATAGTAGAACAAAACACTTGATCAGGACTTTATCTTGGAAAATGCAATTAAAAATTATAGAAATGGTTCATTTTGTACTTGCAGTCTCAAGTTAGAACTGCAACAATGCAGTGTTTCTTAGAACAAAAAAAGTGACTAAAATGTTGATATTTTTGGTGTAATTTTTTTTCCTGACAAAAGTATGATGGCAGCCCAGTGTGGCATCTTTCACTTCATGTTTTTACTTTGGCAGTGTCATCATAAAGAGGATGATTGCAGCAAAAAAAGATAAAAAAACCCATATATTTCAACCTTCATCTACCTATAAGATGATTGTGGGAAGAGTCAGGACTAGAACCTGTGTTGAATGAAATCTTTTTGGGAAAACCTTTAACATGTTAGTCATCAGGCTAGGCACACTGAAGTCTTGTCCTGAGGAGTCTGGTTGGTGCAGGAACACCTGTTTAGAAACCTCAGAGTGATTTGAGCCTAGATTTGCTAAGGAGATTTGGGTCAGCTTGGGAGAAGTATAGAGGTTAGCAGGGAAACCACTTTGGTCTAAGACTCCCCTGTTACCCTAGAGCAGACCCAGACCCCTGCTATAAAGAGCACTGTGACTTGGCAGGCTGACATGTTCTGCATCCCCTTGGTCCACAGTTTCTTAGTGTACATTGAAATGGTGCATACAAGGTGGTTGTACTTGGAGGGTGATGGAATGTTTTAGTTCTCATAAACCTTCCTTATGATGGAATGCCTAGATACCCTGCTGATAGGCACTTTGAAAGAAAGTTAAAAGTTAACCAGACTTGGGATATTTTAATCCCTAGAATCTGTCCTGAATTTGAAGTCTGACATAAGATGCCTTGAAAATCAAAGGACTACTAAATTCAAATGTGATGTCCTTAGCAACTTATCTCTGAAGAATGAATAGATTGTTTCTCATTGAATTTCCATGAAATCAGAGACAGAAAACTCTAAGATACAACCCTAGTATCAAACTCTGTTTTATATAGTGCCTCAACAAATATTAAATAAAATATTCTGATCTTACAGAACATTTTTTTCCAAGTATTTTTCTACCACTTTTATTTTTAAAAATGTTTTGTTGATCCTTTTTTCTTTTTTTTAAACACTCACTGTCATTTTCCAACCAACATCTTTTTCCTGACCATCTGTTGTACCAAATGGAACCTCTCTGCTGAAAAGTTGGAGGCATGCTTTTAGCATCAGAGCTGTGGAATCATGATTAGACACTACATTGACTAGAGTTTTGAAGTCTTTCAATGTTATTTTCCTTTATATTATTGTATTCCTTGTGTAAATTATTTTCCTGATTCTATTTATTTGGGTTCTTCATTTGTTCAAACAAGTCTTTCTAGATTTCCCTGAATTCTTATCTGGCATTTCTTACAGCACAGTGATATTCCTTTATATTCATACACCATAATTTGTTTAGCCTTTCTCTAATTGATGAGTACTTAATTCTTCCTCCTTTATCAAGATGAGATTTTTTACTTAACTCTCTGATTTATTATTACTGGAACTCCTATAGCAGAGAAAGCTGATTCATGGCAGAAAGACCTGGGACAGGGAGGATTTTATAAATATATAGCATTTATCTTTTATATTAATCGCCAAAGGAGGAAATACTTTCCATCAGGTCATTAAATGGTTAACTTTTCCCCTGGACATAGAATTACAAAATGTTGTGAATAGTTGGAGTTTTTTGTTAACGAGACAGTGTTCGTCATATAAGTATCATAATTCTGTGTACTTCAATTTTTTAAGTGCTTTTTCTTTTGCATAGGATAATAGCCACCTGTGGTGAACTTTTGCGGCACTGTGGGGACTTTGAGCAACAGCTAGCAAACAGGTAGGGAAGATTTTTGTTGTGATTTTCTCTCCTTAGAAACTTGTTTAGAAGAAAATTTAATTTTTAAAAATGTGTGTTATAGTCATTACAGGTCCATCAGATTCAAAATATATATAGCTTAAGACCTCTTGATCTGTACCTACATAAAAATTATATTATTGTTGTTTTCATTATCATCGTCTTTACTGTCTTTATCAAACATCAAGCACTGTGAGAGGCTATGGTTCTGTCTAGTGCTAAAGTAAGGGTTAATAGCATAGTTTTGTTTAGTCATGGTCTTTACTGTCAGGAAGTCTTTAGGCTTAAGTGAGGAAATAATGTAAACATTCCCTAGTTATGTTTCAAAAATTTTATTTTTAAATAAGTTACTTGGACCACTAAACATATTTTCCCATAGAAATAATGTTATAAATGGTGATTAGGTTGTCAGGTCAGGCCTCAAAAATATATTGAATTCACAGTGTAGCCAAACTATGCTACGTGTCTCAGTTTTAGGTACCGGGAGCAGGAGAGAGGAGAAAGATGGTTTCCTAGGCAAAAGTTTGAAATAGGTGTTTTTTTACATTCACTTTTTTCTGCACTAAAGTCCCTCTTCTTAGGAACTCAGTGACTTCATGTTCTCTGAGCCTCCTACTTTTGTACTTCAGCCAGGTCTGCCTTTCTTAAAGTGTTCAATATTCTAAAATTATTCCCCTCCCCTCCCCAAAAAGAAGCATTCCCTCAGTGTAGGTGGTATCAGCCAGATTTTAGAAGGAAAGCAATATGATTGAACTTACATTGATGTATTAATGACTGCTAACTTCTTTGAAGTTATTAGCATTTTTTTTTTAGGCAATTGGGGTTAAGTGACTTGCCCAGGGTCACATAGCTAGTAAGTGTCAAGTGTTTGGTCTGAGGCCAGATTTGAACTCAGGTCCTCCTCATTTCAGGGCCGGTGCTCTATCCACTGCGCCACCTAGCCGCCCCATTTATTAGCATTTTAAAAGAAGATTTTTTTTCTGAGGTAAGAAGAAATTGCTAATTGGTGGAACTTGAGGCAGTATAAAAATGAAATGGAAAAAAAAATTGGACCAGTATAGAGTGTGAGAAGGGAAGATATTTTTGGATGGGGGAACTACCATGCTATTTAATCTTATTTCAGAATTTGTCCCTGTGGTCAGCTCCTTTAATCTATTTATATCTTTTCTCTTTCTACTTATGAAACCATATTTTTTTCTGAAAGTTCATTTTTTATAACTGATTTTGTGGTAGCTGCTTTGTTATTGAGGGAGCCAGGACAGGTCAGGGGTGACTCTAAATATGATTTGTTTGTAAGTCAAGATTATCTTCACAGGCAAACAAAGAAGTTATGTGAATAAATAGATTTACAAAATGTTATCTGTATGTAGAATAGAATATACAAGTGAGAGAAACAAATATTTACTATGAACACATAGTCAGTTGTTGACAGTGAATGAGATAGAAATTAGATTTGGTAAGGTTTTCTGGAAGAGGTAGATATTTAACTTAAAAGTTCTAAATTGGGACTGGGAGTAACTGTGTATGGCATTTTAAATATGGGAGAGTCTGAGTAAAAGATTTGACTTCTCAGAGTTTGAAGAAAGAAGAGGCTTGAAGCAGGGGTTTCCTGTGGTGATAGAAATGGAAAGGAACAGGTAGATGCAAAATATTGTTTGCTTAGACTGTAATTCTATAATCCTATAAACATTGAGAATTAAAGGAAAGACAATAATCTACCTTGTGTTCCCTCTGTTAAGAAGACAAAATGAGTGACACCAGCCTATAAAGCTTATCTTATCTCCCAGTCAATCTAAAATATGGAACACAGACTTCTAAGGAAGACCACTCCCTTAAACAGCAGAGGCAGCAGGTTGAAATACCGTGGAATTCATTTCTGCAAGAGGGTTGGAATTTGTCATCATTCTCTTGTAAGATTGCCACATTGCAGAAGCTGGTATTTAATGATTTTGTAGTGAGTAAAAGTGGGATTACACACAGCTGTTAGCTGAAGGATTTCCCACATAATATGTGACTCAGAGATGTAAGTGAGGTGTGTGGTTCCACACACACACACACACACACACACACACACACACACACTTAAATGTTGCTAGTTCTTGGAAAGATATCCATAGAATAACATGTTGGGAACTTAATGCAGGAATCCTTTTGGAGTAGTTTAGTAGGAAAATCAGACTTTAAGATCCCATGTACTATGAGCAAATCACTTAACTTCTTTAAAGCTCTGTTTCCTTATCTGTAAAATGGGTATGGAAATACTTAACATTATTTACCTTACAGGATTATTTATAGGACAGCTCTTTGTAAATTACGTAGTGCTTTATAAATGTGAGCTATTTATATTCACAAGTTTTGATGACATTGGTGAGTTGCTGACAGCTTTCATTAAAATTAATTAATTGAGAAATATGTGAAACAGGACTGTAGATTTTAGCTAATTACAATACTATTAACGTAATAGGAAATCAGATGGTAAATTAGATTTTCTGATACTTCTCTAGGTAAAGAGTAAAATAAGAGGAAAATGCCCTTAAGCTTTCTTTGGACACTATGTGCAGTTAAATGTGATTTTTTTGAAAATTGCCATCTTTTATGTTTTAAAGATTTCTGACTATACTTCTCTTCAATTTGGATGGTAAGATGATATGTTGATGTGATTAAGGCTGATATTAAAACAGCCATGCAAAAGAGGAATGGCTACCTGGAGAACAAGGGAGGAAATTGATTTCCCATATGTCTGATCACCAATATCAGACCAGCCCATACTTTGCATGTAGATTTATTGTCTTTTTCATACTTGAGGCCTAAAATTTCATTTTCATTTAACTAAAGGAAGTCTTTGAAGCATAAATCTAAAGGTACAACTTCCCCCCAGGAAGTTGTTTGTGATTATAATGGTTCTTGAGGACAGTCCTGACAACTGCCTGGTCACCCTTGAACCTATTCCCATTTATTAGTTCATGTGCACTTTTAGGGAAACAGTAATGTGGTGGGAAGAGCACTAAATTAGGAGTTAGAACATCCTAGGTTTTCAGTTTCAGTAAATATAGTAAACATTTATTAAATATTGATTATGGCAAGGTGCTAGGCACTGGATATACAAAAACATAAACAAGATAATCCCTGTCCTGAAGGAGCTTATGTTTTATTTCTATAACCCTTTCTTCTTAATCAGTCATCTTGTCCTGTTGAATTTAGCTCTCGTGTGGCTTATGACTGTAGGAAATCACTTCACCCCTCAGTGCCTCCATTTCCTTAATTCTAATGTGGAAATTGTAACAACCATTCCCTACTTGCTTAATTTTGATACTCTGGAGTTTAGTAAATTGCAGCTGGAGAAAAGTGCAAGATCCCTTCCAGCTTTCTGTCTGCATATATATATGTCATGTCATGATAATAATACTCATTCTTATTATAGGATTTTGTCCACAGCTGGGAAGTATCTTGCAGACTCTTACAGCCCTCGTAGTTTGACTGGCTTTCAGGACAGCAGCCTGACTGATAAGAAGAGCTCTGTTAAGAACCCATGGCAGGAATATAATTATCTTCAGAAGGAGAATCCAGTAGAATATGCCAGTTTAATGGAAGTACTTTACACTCTCAAGGTATGAGGCCAATCGACAGTGTTGTTGGGAATGGAAGCTTTTTCCTTAGCCTTTAACTCTGAAAGTTTTTAGTGTTCGATGCTCCTCCCCTAACATAGTTGTTCTTACTCATTGTGTGAGGTTTATGCTGCTCTGCCCTGTGGCCATTGTTCTTTCCCATTTATTCATTGAATCTACCTATGTTAACTCTGAAGAAATGTTCTTGGTATTTGGGGATAAGAACCCTTTTAACAGAAGGGGTGATGCAAATAGTAAATTGTGGTTTCTAATGTGAATGGTAGCATTGACTATAGGTGGCCTACCAGTTTTATATCTAGAAATGTTTTCAGGAAATTTGTTATGAAAGCTATGTATCCATCTTCTATTGAATCTTATCCAGTAAACCTCATTACATGTTTTTGACCATGCGTATCTTTATGTTATTTAGTCAATGATTTCCCAGGCTACTACATACCCTAGGACAGGATCAGATATGGTGATATATCATCTTTATGTGGCTTACTTGCTCTCTTCAGCCTGTCCCCTTTAACTGGCTGCATTTGAGCCTGACACATAACATTTCTTAAAGTAATTTCGTGAATCCATTCATCCGTGTTTTTGTGATTAGGTTAAAGTAACTTTGTTTATCTTTATTGATAATCTGATTTATGTCTGTCTTAATTGACTCATTTATAATAGCAAAACTAAGGTTGCATTTTCTGTTGTGGTATTTTCTCAGGCTATTTACAATTCCTTGAAACTTACACAGGCGGTACATATGCTGGCTTTTATTTATTGACTTAACCTCCTTGGAAATCATGATCATGTTTATGTATTTAGTGTCCATAGAGGTTAAGCTAGTGATTTTTTTCCTACCCCTTCCCCCATTCCCTGGATAGTTAGAAGTTGTATAAAGTTATTCCTTAAATCCTGTTTTTTTCTGTCTTTAAAAAAAAAACTTTTGTCACTTAATGTCTTTTATGGCAGTCTTTGTATAGAACTTTGTATTTAAAGATATTGTGTCCTATACTTAGTAAAAAATCTTGTAGTACTCTGTGCTTATTAATATGGCCTTTTATTCTTACTTAGGAAAAAGGCTCAAGTAATCACAGCCTGCTGTCTGCCTCTCGTACAGCCCTAACTCGCCTTAATCAGCAGGCCCACCAATTGGCCTTTGATTCTGTTTTCCTGCGCATCAAACAACAGCTTCTACTAATTTCCAAGATGGAGGTGAGTTTTTCAAAGTTTCTCCCAGGACCCATTCTGATTTATTACAGATCCCTCTTTCCATCAGGAAGCCAAATGTCTTTGGAACTCCTTTGGCACTGCTTCTTGTTTCAGTGTAGGGCTAACATTCACCTTTTCTTTCTAGGACTTTTAAGGAAAATCCATTTTCAGTATCCCAGAACCTCACCTTAAGAGTTCACTTTTCTTCCATAATTTATTATTTAACATGGATTCTTGAGTCAGTACCGCTAACTTGAATTAGGTTTGTGTCATTCAGACCAGAAATGAAACAGTGGATGGAAGAGACATTGTGATAGAAAAATTGACAAGACTTGGTGATGCCATCAAAGAAGGGACACATTTGTAATACATGTATATCCAGGAAAAAATTATACATCTGAGGGAGACAGTATAAACATAGATGAGACCATAATGAAAAATACAAATTCATAGTTTTATCATCCTTGCGCTTTCTAGTTTTAGTCCTTGTTACTTCAGTTATGCCTGCAGTTTTTCTTCTTTATACTATGTCTTGAGCACTATCACCTGATTCAGCTTCCTGAAATCCTTCTTCCATCATGTCATTCCCTTGTTCACAGTCTGCTTTAGGATAATGTCCAAACTCCTTAGCCAGGTAAGTAAGACCCTTTACTGTCTGAACATGAGATACTTTTTCAGATTTATTTCCCACTATTCCACTACTGTATAAACCCCTTGTTCTGGCCGGACTGATCTGTTCATTTGTCTCCAAACAAGGCTGTCGTTTATGTTAATTACTTTTTTCATGCTATTCTCCTGACGTGGAATTCTTCCCTCACTTTCCACCTATCATAATTCTACATCCGGCTTAAATATCACATCTTCCATGAAGTCTCCTTTGATCGCCCCAGCCAGAAATAATCTTTTTCCTTTTATTGTACGTATTGTCTGGCACAGTGGAAAGAACATTGACGCTGAAGTCAGAGGATGTGAGTTTGAATCCCTCCTCTGAAATTTACTTGTATGACCTTGGCCAAGGAATTTAGACTCCTTGGGCCTCAGTTTCCCATCTGTAAAATGAAAGAGTGGGACCAAATGGCCTCTTTTCTAGCTCTAGGTTTGTGATCCTTGGCACTTCTTTTTTACTGCTTTGTAGTATAAGTAGTTGTCATATCTCCCCTATTAAACACCTGAAGGAAGGAAGGACCATGCATATTTGTTGAATTGAAAGAATAAATATAGATATTTTAAGTGTTAATTTGTAGTAAGTTAGAATTTGACTGGTAGAAAGGAAGACATTGAGGACAAAGACATATTTGAAATCAAAGAAGGGAATTCAGAGCAGAAAGTGTGAACCAGGACCAGGTGACTAGAAAACTCTGGGGCAGGAGTAGAGAAATAAAGATGCTTTCTATATAAAGAGTCTTTCCTGGAAGGGGAAAAAAATAAGTTAATGCTTGAAAATGATAGTACTAGTAACTGACACATATATAGCACCTAGGATCATAGGATTGTGGACTTAGAGCTGGAAGAGACTTTAGAAGCCATTAATAAAGCCCAATCCCCTCATTTTATAGCAGAGGAACTGACATCTAAAGAGGTTAAATGACTTGCCCAGGATCATATAAGTAATAAGTGCCAGATTTGGAATTCAGACTAAGGTTCTCTGACTCTAAATCCAGTGTTCCTGCCATTGCACCATACTGTCTTAAGATTTACAAAGCACTTTTCACACATAATCTTATTTGAACCTCGTAACAACTCTGTGAAGTAGGCAAGGCAAGCATTATCATTGCCATTTTAGAGATGAAGAAACTAAGACACTTTGAGCTTAAATGACTTGTCCAGGGTCACATGGCTAGTTGTGTGTCAGAAGTGGGGTGTGAACTCAAGTCTGTCCTGGCTCCAAGGATAGTGTACTTTGCCGTATAGCTTGCTTCACCAGAGGTTCAGGGCCACATTCTAAAGTTTAGGTTCAATTAAGATCAGGTCATTGATGGACTCGGGTAATTGACAAACGCAGAATTATTTAATAAAATTGATTTTTTTCCCTTCTTTTTCAGAGTTGGAACACAGCTGGAATTGGAGAGACTTTGACAGATGATCTTCCCACATTTAGCCTTACCCCTCTTGAATATATTAGCAACGTAAGAGAAATAGCATATTGATTTTTCTGGGACAGCCATGGCAAACAAAATATCTTTTTGTGTTTTGGCTGCTTGACACTCAAGGTTAAGTAGCTGTTTATCCCAGTTCTGCATTTTGTGCTTTGACTTTTACAGTGTCTCTACTTAAGTCACATTCTTTAAGGGAAAATTTATTTTAAAGAACTTTTGAAACACATATGGTAGCTAAAGGATGAAGGTAGAGTCTCATGAAAAGGAAAGAGAATGAGATACATTAAATAGATATGTAGAAAGTTCCAGTATTAGAAGTTGGTGATGCTCTTTTGATTTTCTCAGTACTTTATAGAAATGGGAAACATGTTGGCAGCTTCAAACAAATGAGCAATCTTTATTATTTTTTAGTCTTGCTTCAGTCAGATAATATAAAAACTTATTCTAATCAATTGAAAATAAATGCTGATTTCAAATGTTCTGCCACCTTCATTGGAGAGAGTGTAAATTAGTAATGTTTTTTGTAGGCTAGTAAACTGTTTGTACTGTAGCCACAGTGTTGTCAGAATTTATCTAGCATAGAGGTTCCCAAACTTATTTGGCCTACCACCCTCTTTTCAAAAAGAAAATTACTCAACACTCCCCTGGAAATCTACTTTCTTTAACCTTTTAATGTTTTTTTTTTTGAAATTTGAATAATTTCCAAAAAAAAAAAAATTTTTTTTAAAAAATGACACATCTTAAATTTAATAATTTATTGTAAATTTGTGGTTTTTTCCTGTATTGAAATTTTGATGATGTAATATTGTGTCATGTAGCCATATAGTATCATATTGTAAGCAAGTCATTACATGCACATATTCGGCTGATGCATACTGGACTTCCTGACAGTGTGTGATACCGCTTGCCTGCCAACATTTGCTTGTTAAGATCTGTCAGTGGACTTGACTACTGATCGATTATAACTTGCATTTTGTGTGTTTATTTGGAAAATAATATAATCACTATGACTTTAACTGTGTTATGCAACATAAGCATGTATGAACAGTTTTTCAAAATTTTCTTATCTTCTTTTCTTTCCTTATGCTTCCATCACCCCCTTATTTTTATTCAATGCCCTCCAGCGGCTACCACCACCTTGGATCATTCGAGCATCCCCAAGGGGCACGGTTTGGGAACCTATTCATGTTAAGGACCAGTCCTTACAGAGAAATAGTATTGGCTGGTGTGTAGATAACCAGATGAATAACCAAGAAAACAAATAACCAAGAAAACTTGGATTCTAGCTGGGCCATGACTTTCTCTTAGTCACACCTAATTTGGTTTCTTTTTTCTGTAAAATTAGGATGATATTGATAACTTTTTAGAGATAATGGGAGGTTTGATGAGATTCCATTTATATAATATGTGCTCTTTGGAAGAAAGATACTGGAAGTGCATAGTCATTGAATTAACAAGCACTAAAAATCAGCTATGTCTCAGTAAAAATCAGTAGCTCATATTTCTATAGTCCTTCAATGGTTACAAAGTACTTTAATATTTACAAAGCACATTATACCCATTATCCACTTTGATTGTCTCACGTGAGGTAAAAGGGAGGCAAATGTTATTGTTTCTGTTTTAATAAATGAGGAAACTGAGGCTCAGAGGAGTAGAATGATTGCCCAGGCTTAGTGGCAAGTAAATGGCAGAACATGTGCTTGGAGGCAAATCTCATAACTCTATGTCTAAGGTGCTCTCTGTTCTAGTGAGCTCCCAGAACCATGGTTTTGGTTCTTATGCACATGGCTGTCGAGGCCCATTTGTTGTTGTTTAGTTGTTCTGATTCTTCATGACCCTTTGGACCATAGTGACTATGGAGTTTTCTTGGCAAAGACATTGAAGTGTTTTGCCATTTTCATCTCCAGTGGATTAAGGCAAACAGAGATTAAGTGACTTGCTCAGGGTCACACAGCTAGTAAGGGTCTCATGCCTGATTTGAACTCAGGTCTTCCTGACTTCGGGCCCAGCACTCTGTCCACTAGCTCCTCTAGCCCAGCACTCTAGCCACTTAGCTGCCAAGATCACACAATTAGTTAGTGTCTGAGCCCTGATTTGAACTCAGGTCATCCTGACTCCAGACTCAATGCTCTATACACTGAGACATTTAGTTTCCTCTCAAGGCCCATAGAAGTATAATAATTTACCACATAGCAGGGAGAATCTGAAGATCTGAGTTCTAGTTATGACTTTACCACAAACCAGCCAAGTGATCCTGGGTGAGTCATTTAATTCTCTAGGCCTCAGTTTCTTCATTTGTAAAGTGAAAGGAGTTGGACTAGCTAGTCAGTCAAGAAGCATTTATTCTGTGCTAGGAACTGTGCTCAGTGCTGGGGATACAAAGAAAGGCAAAACCCAGTTTTTGTGTTCAGGGAGGTCACAGTCTGATCAGAGAGACAACATGCAGACAACTACATACCAACAAGATATGTACAAGATAAGTTAAGAATAACCTCAAGAGGAAAGGCACGAAGACTATGGAGGCTGAGAAGGGCTTCGTACAGAAGGTAGGACAGCACTTACCACAGTGCCTGGCACGTAGTAGTTGCTTGATGAAAGTTTATTAACTAACTGACTTTAGCTGACGCTTTAAGGAAGCCAGGGAAGCAGGAAGGAGAGGAGAGAATTCCAAGCAGGGATACAACTAGTGAAAATGTGTGGAGTCAGGACATAGGAGTATGGTGTGTGAGGAACAACAAGGAGGCCAGTATCACTGGATCATAGGACGGGGAGTAAGGTGTCAGAAGACTGGAAAGGTAGGAAGGGGCTGGGTTATGAAGAACTTTAAAGCCAGAGGATTTTATTTTTGATCCTGGATAAGGAACCATTGGAGTTTATTGAGAAAGGGGGTGATGTGGTCACCTGGGCTTTAGGAAGATCAGTTTTGACAGCTGAGTGAAGGATGGACTGGATTGGAAAGAGATTTGTGGCAGAGAGATCAACCAACAGGCTGTTTATTGTAACAGTCCAGGTGTGAGTTAATGTGCACTTGGGCGGTTGCAGTATCAGAGGAGAGAAGAGGGCTTAATGTGAGATTAAAACAAGAGGATCTGACAACTGATGGATTATGGAGAGTGAGAGAAAGTGAGAAGTTGAGGGTCGCAGTTGGGTTGTGAGCCTGGGTGATTGGGAGGGTGGTGGAATCCTTGACAGCAGTAGCGAAGTTAGGAAGAGGGAAGGTCTGAGAGAGAAAGATAGTTCAGTGTTGGACATGTTGAGTTTAAGATATCTGTGAACATCCAGTTTGAGATGTCCGGTGGGAAGTTAGAGATGCAGGGTTGGAAATCAGGAGAGAGGTTAGAGCTGGATAAGTTAGATTTGAGAACCTTTAGCATAGAGATGATAATTGAATCTGTGGAAGCTAATGAGATCATCAAATGAAATAGGAATAGAGGGAGAAGGGAATAAGGCCTAGGACTGAGCATTAGGGGAATCCAGTGGTTAGTGGATATGATGAATTAAGATCCCCAAAAGGAGCCTGAGAAGGAGCTATCAGACAGGTAGGAGGAGACCTGGAAGAGAGCAAACTAGGAAAACTAGGAGTGAAGAGGTTATCAAGAAGAAGAGGGTGATAGTGTCAGAGACTGTCGAGAGGTCAAGGAGTATGAGGACTAGATAATTTTAAAGTTTCCTTTAATATCTGACCTTCAGTGTTTAAACAACAGGTTTAGGATTAGAAATTGGGATTCCTTACTTCCAATCCTATCTGTCTAGCCTTGTGTAAAATACCTTCTGGTGGGAGGAAACTAAGTACAATGTAGTCAAAATCACTGTACTTTTTCATCATCTTTATTTTATATTCACGTGCTTCCTAGGCAGCATGCTGTCCCAGGATACACTAATAGACTGGAGCAAGAATATTGAACCAGTAAGGCTTGTCCATTGTTTGAGAGGCTGGAGGAATATATAAACCTGAAAACTAAAGTGTTGTTTACAGTGTTCTTTATAGCTGAAATCTGGGCTTGACCTTTTACATTTGGTATTTTGGGCATTGGTATTCTCTGAGTTTTGATTCATACTAAACAGTAAGCCAGGATGATCACCAACAGGATCCTGGAATCTAGCCAATCTGTTAGCTATATTAACTATGTCAGCACTTTGCTGAGCTAGGCTAGGCTGTACCTATATGGTCAGCCAAAGTATGGCAGCCACAACCCTGGTGGTTACATCAGCAGTTGTCTTAAAGATTGCATTAACTCCATGAGACTTCGGCGTTGTGAGCTGCCAGAAGAATAACAAGAATAGTGTAAACTAGCACTCATGGTCTGAGGCTAGACATAGGACAAAGATGAATCTCAGAGACAGAGCTGCATATAGCACTGGTTTCTGAAAATTATTATTTGAATCTTCTAGTCAGAGAATGGTATTTATGTGTAGGCAGCACACAAATTTTCCCTGTAGGCAGCAGGGGAAAGCCCATGGGTCATCTCTTCATCTCTTTAAATATACCTTCACATGAGAATAGCAGGAAAGTCAAGAGTTTTGTCTTTGAATACAAGTGGTAATCATTACACAAACATACAACTTAAACACATAAATCTGTATCACATATACAAAATATCATTGGTTTAGGCAAGTCTGTAACAATGGTCAATATAACTAAATTCTGGGAAGAAATTTAGGTCAAAGAGCTCTTAAATCAAGATATTTTATCTCTTTTATTTGCCCTTTAATAGTCACGCTAGCATAATTAATATATTGTGTTAAATAATTGCCTGCATCCTGGTAACACAAATCTGATATGACGGTCAAAATCCAAGTAGAGATAAGTTGTCTGTTGGAAATACAGGACTGGAACACAGGTGGGATCTCTGGGCTAGAGATAATGTAGATTTGATATTCTGCCCAAAAAGGATAATAGCTGAAGAGTCTGTTTTGTCCTGAGGGTAGATGAGATCACCAAAGGAGTGAATATTGAGAGAAAAGAGCAGGCCAGTGAAGGGGGTCTTAGTGGTTAAAATAATGTTGTCAACTTCAACTCAGAATGTACAATCTGACTTTTAAAGTCAGCGTTTGCTCAAGTGAATAAGGACTTTGAATAAGAAAGAATGCTGATTTCCTTTATTTTGCTACCAATTAGAAAAAGAACAAACTAGTATGACTTTTTTTTTTGTGGGCTGGTAAAATGTTTGTACTTATTATGCCTGGACCTTAATAGCACTTTATTTTCTGTTTAGATTGGGCAGTATATCATGTCCCTCCCACTAAATCTTGAGCCATTTGTTACCCAGGAAGATTCTGCTTTGGAATTAGCATTGCATGCTGGAAAGCTGCCATTTCCTCCTGAGCAAGGTAAGAGAATCACTTAGCTGCTGTTGCACCTTGGGAAAAACACTGATCCAGATATTTCTAGCCTTGTGAGAAGAGAATACTGAATGTCACAGGATCATAGATTTGTAGTAGGAAAGAACCTTAGAGGTCATCTAGTCCAAAGCCCTCACTTTGTAGATGAGGAAACTGAAGCTCATAGAGGTTAAATGATTTGCCTAGAGTTTCAGAATTTTTTTTTTTGGGTGAAGCAGTTGGGGTTAAGTGACTTGCCCAGGGTCACACAGCTAGTAAGTGTCAAGTGTCTGAGGCCAGATTTGAACTCAGGTCCTCCTGACTCTAAGGCCAGAGCTCTATCCACTGTGCCATCTAGCTAGAGTTTCAAGGGTAGTGAGTGGAAGAGTGGAAATTTGAACTTGGGTCCTCTGACTTCTAAATCCAGCACTGTTTGTAGAGCACCATGCTGTCCTCTTATCCGTGAAGCACCTGGATGCTTGCTTATGTACTCTCTTCCAAAACAGAAACCTATAAAATGTTGCACTAGATGGTACAGATATTATTTGGAGTGTTTTATGGATGAAGAAACTGAGGCCAGAGAAAGGAAAACTCTTACCTCAGGTCTGTTGGTTTAACTCAGTTCTTTTAATTCTCATTTCAGTCTTCTTTTATATCCCTCTTGTCAGTGAATTAATTCACTTTAATAGAATTAACAGTTTTGGATCAGCAGTTGTCAAAAAGCTACAGCAGTGGAATCATGAGTCCATAGTAAAGAGAAAGTATCCACTAAAATGTTGAACACTGTTGATGTTTGCCATTCTCTAATGGGTGTTTATAATAGAACAGGTCAGGGCTGATAAATTTATTGATAAGCAGAGAGTGATAGGTTTAAGGTTCCTGGAAACTTTATCTCAAATGGAGGGTCAGCTGATAGGCACAGTTTAGCATTACTGACCTCAAGGGTGAAACATTAGAATATTCCTGTTCTCTTTGGGTAAAGTCAAAAGTCCTTGGGTGTAACTTAACAAAAGCATTTCTATCAAATGGCTGCTCTTAAAATTGAGCAAGATTGAAGTAATCACAAGACATTTTACTGAAACCACATCCAAAGTTAAAAGATACCATAGAGCTGTTGTGCAAAAACCCGGGGCTTTTCAACATCTCTTCTTGAAACTCTCTACTCCCTTGGCTTTTGTGACAGTTCTTCTCCTAGGTTATTCTCCTGCTTCTCTGACCACCCTTTATTGGCTCTTCTTCCCTGCCTCTTGACTTAAGCATGTCCTCCAAGATTCATCTTTCCTCACTTTCCTTTCCTATAGTCACTCACTCACAACTTCAGCCATCATCCCTGTGCTGATAACTCCTAAATTTACATCTCCAACTCTGATCTTCTATCTATGCTTCATTTTTCTGCTTCCAACCAACAATAGAAAGTATCCATTTGTATGATCTACTGTCACAGCAAATTCAGCATGTCCAAAATAGAACTCATCTTCTCACCACTCCCCCTTCAAAACAGTTCTTCTCTGTTTCTGTTATTGGTCCCACACTTCATCTAGTCTCTCCTTTGTAATGCCTTAGAGCAAGAGTTCTTAAAAGGGGGGGGGCATGGACTACATTTTACTGGGTCCATGTACTTGGATGGGGAAAAAATTATAATCTGACCCCCCCATACTGCTATGTAACCTTATTTTCTACCACTCTCTAGTATTCATCCTTTACTCCAGGGTTATTTCTGTTTCCCAAACATGCCATGCTCATTTCTTCCATTTGTTATATTGACCTATGTTATTTCCATACTCTTTATCTGCTTTCACACTTCCACTACCACTCAGAATATACTACCCATTCTCTATCAAAAACTAATGCATCTTTAAAGGCCTAGGTCAAGACCCGTCTCTTTCATGACATCATCACCAATTATTCCAACCCATCTTGTTTTCCTTTCCCCCCAACTCTTGCGGTATTTATCAAGTACTATGCAATTCAACACTTTTTTTATTATTATTATTTTGTGTGTTGGTCTTATTTAGACCTGGAGCTCCCTGAAGACAGACCGCTTCTTAGGCTTCTTTTGTGTCCTCTATAGCATGTAGCACAATCCTGCACACATATGGAAGGTATTCAGTAATGTCTGATTGGCCAGTGGGATTTTTCATGGGGAGATGTCGTGTGTTTCTGGAGGAATATTCTTTCTTCATTTCAGGGGATGAGTTGCCTGAGCTGGACAACATGGCTGACTACTGGTTGGGTTCCATTGCCAGGGCCACAATGCAGACATATTGTGATGTGATTCTTCAGATTCCTGAGCTGACTCCACACTCCACAAAACAGCTGGCTACAGACATCGGTGTGTATGGGGCTTATGGGAGTCAGGTGGCTGCTGCTGGCTCTCTGGCAGGCCCCCAGTGGAGAAGTCTGCCTACAATAAATGCTTCCCCTCAGTAACTGTGGTGCAATCTTTCTGGCCCTCAGGGTCAAATACTTAGGGGTTAGATTGGAATGAACAACACTAACAAGTCTGCTTCCTTGCCCTCTTCATTTGGGTCACCCCAGAACTGTCCTTGTGCCTCTGACAGGATAGACCAGCTGCCAGATCAGATATGGGACTTGCCTCCTTTCAGCATGCCCAAGCATGTGACAGAGTCTGAGGTGTGCCCCTCTGCCTCTTTCCTGAAAGGTGAGAAACCAGCCTTCACCAACATAGGACACTAGAAAAAGAACCTTTCAACTCTCTCTTTAAAAGTCTGTTGGATTTTTTTTTTATCCAAACTATGTTATGTGATGCAGACTCTACTTAGGGTACATGAGAATACTTAGAGATACATAAAAAACCTCCTATGTGTGATGCTGCCTGGTCTTTACAGAAAGAGCCTTTTGCAATAAAGAGTTTTCTGAGGAACAGCCCAAGTGCCTGTTTATTCTTTGCAGGAAAATGACCATGCCAGCATGGGGCACTAGATATTAACTAGATTCTCATCTGAGTGCCTGTCTAATTGTTCTATGTTAAAAAAAAATCTTTTCCATGGTGTGAAAGAGGGTTGCTAAGATGGTGTTGTTTGTGAAGATAAAACCTTCAGCACCATTTACTTTCATAGAATCATAGAACTTTTGAGCTAGAAAGAACTTTACACTATAAAGTCCAACCCCCAAATTTTACTGATAAGGAAACTGAGGTTCCCAAGGGAAAGTTCACTCCCCAAGGTCGAATAGCTAGTTAACGGTAGAATTGGAACCAGAACTTAGCTTCCAGTGTTTTTTCTGTTATGCCATATTACCTCCCAAATAGAAGACTTGGTTTTGTCCATGGACTTAGTCTAAATTCATAGACTCATAGAATATTAGTACAGAAAGGGACCACAGAGGTGATCTAGTCCACCCTCATGGTATAGGCAAGGAAACAAAGGCCTAGTGAGTGTAAGTGATTTGCCCAGAGTCACATAGCTAGTTAATTGCAGACCTGGAACTACAACCCAAGTGTTCTCATTCCTCCTCCTGTGTTCTTACCTATTAAGCCATCAGTATTACAGCGTAACCATCTACTTTTCCCCACTTCACTGGGCATATTTTATTTAGGAAAGTAAAAAGAAATGAAACTCATTCATCTGTGTTACTACTTATTAATTGTTCTAGGGCCAGGGGTGGGGAACCTGTGGCCTTGTGGTTGCATGTGGTCTTCTAGGTCCTCAAGTGTGGCCCTTTGACTGAATCCAAACTTCACAAACAAATCCCCTTAATAAAAGGATTTGTTCTGTAAAACTTGGACTCAGTTAAAAGGCTGCATCCAATGACCTAGAAGGCCACGTGGCCTTGAGGCCACAGGTTCTCCACCCTTGTTAGGAAAAGTTTTGGTGAGGAAGTCAGAGGTTGAAACCTTGAGATTTGGGATTCTTTGTAAATTATAATCACCTGTGTTATTCCTTCTCCCACATATTTTAAAGAGACGTCCAAGGAATCATTGAATTCCAGTGAGCTGAACCAAGCTATCTTAGCAGTAAAACTGATGCTTGATTTGATGTATTTATTACCTACACAGCCTCTTTGGGAAGGGGCCCAGTAAGATAAAAATAGAAAATCAGTTGTGCTAGGAACCACAAAGATACAAATAGAGAACAATAAAATGCAATAGATAATCAAATGTCACATTATGTGGTACAAATTTTTAATGTCATGTGAATTTATAGAGGGGAATGGATGAAAGAAGGGAGGAAAGAAAACATGGAATCGCCTCCCAGTTTATATCATACTTGTTTAAGAGGTCATGTTTACCTTCTGTGTATGTTTTTTTCTTCTAATTTTAACGTATTAGAAAAGCAAACATATTTCCTTGATTCTCTAAATTATTGTAACTAAGTTATGGGACTGGATGCAGTTATTAGTTGCAGTGATACACCTTTACAACCCTGGGGTTAAGGGATGTAATTTACACTTCAGTTATAAATGTTTGGAAATTTTACTAAATGGAGTTATTTTTGAAGGTATATGGTTTGACCGTTGGCGTATTTGAATCCATGTGCTAATGTACTGTTCTAAGGAGTTTTATTTGGTTTAGAAAACCCCTAGACAGAACTGTACGTTCTTTGCTCCTTAAATGAGGGTTTGGCGGAGGTGCACCCTGAATTTTTCTTCATGTAGTTTAGTGGCCTCATTCAGGTTGTATTGCTGTGGTTGTTCCTTGGAAGAGAATGCGTTGGTCATCTTTACTTTTTGTGCTGAGTAATGCCTGTTTGTTTTTAAAGTAATAACCCTGGCCTGCTTACAGAGAAAGATGTTGTAGAGATATATTCTCTTTTTTCTTTTAAACCCCACAGACTATCTGATAAATGTGATGGATGCCTTGGGCCTCCAGCCATCCCGGGCCCTCCAGAACATGGTGACTCTCTTGAAGACCAAACCAGAGGATTATAGACAGGCAGCCAAAGGTCTCCCCCGTCGACTAGCCAGCAAAGTGGCCTCCATGAGGAATGTGAATTACTGATCCTACTATGCAGACTTTGGAAGGTGGAGTGAGAGCTAATATTCTGGGCCAGCAACAGTATTCCCATATTTATTGGGAATATTTTACCAACCCGGCCAGGAATCAAGGCATCTTCTTGAACAGGAAGATTCATTTGTATAGTCCTCAAAGCGTTGTGGGTAGAGGGCATATTATTTATTAGGGTAAATATTTTAATCTTTTTTTGGAATGATCTGATTTTTCAAATGGAATTTACGATGAAAATGAAGAAACTTTAAAAAAAACTAATCTTTGTGTTAACATGAGTACCAAAATGTCGAATTGCTATAGTAGCAAAACTTTGGGGAGTATGAGGACTAGTTGTGGCTAATTTGGGTCTTTGCTTTTCTTGGGGTGAGTAATGGTGATGTAACTAGTGCTTGCTGGGTAGTGTGATGTGTGTTACATGGTTACCTGATTGTGGCTCCTGGTGCCGCTTAGCTGGGAGACTCAAACCAGGCTCTCTGCACCTCATAGCTTCCTTGAACACTTAGCAATAAAAGTAGCAATAAGTGTCAGGCTTTTTGGCAGGGGAGAGAGTGGGTGATTCTTATACAAATCATATGCCTTTTCCCTTCCTGTAAAAAAAAAGTTCATTTGGGAATATCTGAAGTATATATTGTGGTATTTGAGAGGGGGGCCTATGTTGCGATATTGGAGGCAAAGGCAGGAGTGCAGACTCTTCAGGATATTTCCAAAAATTTTTTAATTGGCACAGCTAGGTGGTGCAGTGGATAGAGCACCAAGCCCTGGAGTCAGGAGGACCTGAGTTCAAATCCAGCCTCAGATACATAGCACTCACTAAGCTGTGTGACTCTGGGCAAATCACTTAACCCCAATTGCCTCACCAAAAAAAAATAATTGAAAAGATAAAATTAATTTTGTTAATGTAAATATTATTATTATGATGATTAAGAGAACATCATTGGGACATTTATTCTTCTTGGGCTGCCCTTCCCATCATTTTAGAAGCATTCTAATCAATATCACTCCTTTCACTTGGTTCTCATCATCAACCCCGCAAATATGAAGGTGGCAGTACTAAATGGAATGTCATCTATGGGGTAACCATTTTGTCTGGCACTGGCAAAGCCCCAGTTGGGAACCCGAACCAAGAAAAATATTTCAGTTTCTTATGTAGCTGAGCACACACTGTCCCTGGCAGGAGCTGAGCCTGTGTTTGGGTACTGGCCACTGGGGAAAACCGCCTTGAATAAGCAAGGACAGATTCATGTAAGTATTCAAGAAATCTAGAGGGGCAACCGGGTGTTTATTTAACCCGGAAAGCTCTGTGGGTTTAGTAACCTTGTCCTGTTTATGTCACGTAATTCATCATTTTTCTGAGCAATTCACATTTTCAAAAAAAATGCCCAGACATGTCATTTTGTTCTTTTGCTTTTTCTTTCTACATGAATATGGGAAGTTGGGTCCTCTCTCTGTATAACAAAATCTATTATTTCTCTGGTGTCCCAGCTGGGATCCTTTGTAAAGAAATGGCTCCAGGGAAGGATTGGTGGTGGGGTAGGGGGAATACCTTGCAATGGAACCACAACCCAACCCTACCTGAAGTTTTCTCTAATTGTCCTGAATCCCAGAGGTATTCGGCTGGTGACTCCTCTCTCTCTAACAATCATCCCAGCCTTGATCTCTGGGGACCCAGATTCTCCCATGTCTTCTGACCTGTATGTATGAAAATTTGCTTTTTTTTTCCTTACCTGGAGATAAAGGTTATTGTTGCTTTTTTTTTTAACTTCACTAGCAATAAATACAGTCACAGATGGTTCAAATTCTAACCCTAATAGCCCCTATAGTCCCAAATGGATTTTCATAGGTTCATCTCCATGTGGACAGCTGCCATGATTCCCTGGAGAGGGCCTGCTTATGAATATCCCTCATCAATACTTAACCTGACTCTTTCTCTTTTCTGGCTTCCAAGTTGGTACCCCATGTTATACTGTCCACTAAGTTCTGGTAGGTCTTATTTTTGGCCCTATTTGCAAGACTTGAAAGGTGGATGGCTTTACACCTATTTCAGCTTAGATGTTAGCTTTGCCCACCTCCTTGTTCTAATATTGATTTGTTGTTTATTCCCAAAGAAATGCTCATTTAAAATCTGCCTTAGAGTTTTTACAATCTTGAACATGCCTTGCGCAAACGGGAATAATAACAGTTTCCTCTAACCCTAATTTAATGAACATAATCCCTTGATAACCATTCTTTTAAGAAATGGACTGATACAGTTGCTTTTCTCACTTGCTGCTCCAAGTCCTAGGGGTGTGACTCTAGGGCTGGGTCTTTAATAACATGGAACACAAGAAAAAGAGCCTACCCCCAGAGCAGCCACATGTGCAACTCAAACCTTGTGGATGGGAAAAATTATTGGAAGCAGCCAATTGAAGATGGGAGGAGATGTAGGAAAGGCTCCCTGAGCCTCCCTGAGGAGGGAATTAAAGAATGAAGAAGTGGGGCCAGCTAGGTGGTGCAGTGCATAGACTAGCGCAGGAGGACCTGAGTTCAAATCCTATCTCAGACCAGACACTTGACACTTACTAGCTGTGTAACCCTGGGCAAGTCATTTAACCCCAATTGCCTCACCCAAAAGAAAAAAATGAAAAAGTGGCTTGAAGGGAGAAGTGATTGTATAAGAACTCTTTCAGGGGTGGAGGGAGAAGAGAGGCCTACTTCATGTTGCTATAGCCCCATTCTTTAGTTGTTGCTCAGTCATTGTGGAGTGTGAGGGTGGAATTAGGTTTTTCATGGGATGAAATACTTCTCCTGAGCTCATCTAATGAGTCATTAACAACGATGAGACTAAACCTAAGCCATCCCACTTCCCAGTCTAGTGCTTTTACAAGGAAACCAAAATAAGATGAAGGGGTTCAGGAGGAAAATGTGAAGTAGAATTAATAAAAGGGGAATCAGTAGGATGATAGCAATACAGGAAAGGGTGAGAAGCTGAGAACTGGAGGGTTTTCATTGGGTTTTGAGAGATTATGTCTTCTGCCATCTCCTCACTAGGTTTTGGAGAGTCTGAGCTGGAACCAGCTCTCCCTGTACCATTACCCCACCCTAAGAGCCTGTGACTCTTGTGCTACCACACCTACCTTTTCCTTGGGTACACCATGTTCAGTGGGGAGCCATATAAAAATCCCAGCACTACCTGCATGTACTTCCTTATTTTTAGGCTGTCATCTGCTTCTCTAAGCTCATGGGTTTCTGTTTTAATCTTTCCTGGTGGTGGCAGCTCCTGGTTGTTGCTGCCTTCATACAGGGTTGGAGTTGTCCCTTGTGGCATGCCTCTGTTTTACTGCATTATCTTGGGAAGTAAGGAGAAGGAAGGGCTGCCTTTCCAGGGCCTGCTTCAGGCTTAATTTTGTCCTCTGCCGAAAATGAACTGAGAGAGACCTCTTTAACTCATAGGCACAGGGTTGAGTTTGGTCGTGGAGCTTGGATAAATGTTGGAGAAAAAGTGTGCTGGAATGAAATTCTGCCAGTCACAATGACACAAACATTATGTCTATTTTGGGGATCTCTTGCAAAGGGCAGTTTTGTTCCTAGACCAGTTTTGTTGTTTTTTTGGAGGACAATGATAAATGAAATCCCCTAACCCTTTTTTCATCTTTGTTAAGATTGTGCAGATGAGTTAGGGGAAATTTTTAGGTTTCCTTTGAAGAAAGAGGCTATGGGGATATAAATTTTTTTTTTTGTCAAATATTGTTCCTCTCACCTACTTAGACACAATAGCATGCTAATACCACTTTGAGAGTAAGGGTGCCTGGAGATATTTCTATCTTCGGAGAGGGCCCAAAGTTTTTTTTTCCTTTAGGTCTAGCCTGTGGTATCAAACTCTTAGGCCCATGAAGTCTTCCTTGGCTACAGAAGATGTGAGCAGACATTCCCAGGCCCCACTGTGGTTACTAGATGGAGTGGCAGGTAGCTACAGCTTAAAAATAGCTTTTGTCTCCTGGTTTTGCCTTGGGACTTTGGTGCCCTGATGTGGAAGTTGACACTAAGCTTTTATCCCAGAGCCATGAGATAGGATTTAAGAGGTTTTAGGTTGTGATTAAGCAGGCCTTCAAGGGTCTTAGTGAGTCCAGTTCTAAGATCCCCTGATCCGAATGGTCCTGGTCACTGCTTATGACTCAGCCTTTGATAGAGACCCTTGCAGTTCAAGGCCTGGGAAGAAAATGAGGCTCTCATTTGTAAGTACACAAAAACTTTGCCCTTGCTTGACTATTTACAGCTTTACCTTTTACACCCTCCCCCAACAGCGTTCTCTAAATGGCCACAGAAAGAACTCACCAACCTGCTCTAGCCTGAATGCTCTAGGCAACTCAGAAATCATCTTATCCCCAAAGGCTTTGAAATGGTTCCAGTAGTGTTCTGCCTATGCAGGACAGGTTGGGATTAGTGGTGATTTTGGTTGAAGGATTATCTAAATCCTTTGTATTTCCCTTCTTTCATTAGTGCTTTTAACTGAGGGTGGAAAAGGCAAGGAAGTTAAGGTATTTTGTCCCCTTTTGGCAGCAGTCTAATTCAATAGATGTTTATTGAATGATTACTACAGACCAGTTACCTGGCACTGTGGATTCATAGATAAAAAAACAATAAACACACACACCTTGCTCTTAACAAGTTTACAATCAAATGGGGGAACATGACAGGCAGACTGGAATTGTTCAAAGTGAAGAAAAAAGGACGAAACAGAGTTAATACCTGTGTTATTTGACATATAAAGATATGGCCAAAGGTAAGATCTACATGGAATGCTGGGATTATTGACTAAAGGGTGGCTTTTGGTATGATTGTATGCCCACAAACATTTGTGAATTGAATGATTCATATGTGTATTTACTTATGTATTTCCCCTCTCACTGCAGTGTGCTTCTCATGTACCATGAGGAGTGGGACTGAATTGAGTTTTGACTATGCACACCTCCCTATGTAAGGCCTTCACATTAGAAGAGATGAATTTGGGGATTATTACTCCTTACTTCACTCAGTAGAGGGTATGACCACCTCCTCTTTCTAGCTAGCGCTGGGGAGCCTCTTCTTAACTCCCCAACCTTTCTTTGCCAGACATTTTTTGCTGAAGGTAACTTAGAACCAGGGAATAGAGAAGCCTAGCCGCCATTTCTTCACTTTGTATTGTAAAGGAACATTTTCTCCAATAGGCAATTTAAGATGGAGACTTGGAGTAAACTATGATAGGGTAAAATGAATAGTGCCCAAGTTATTTTACTTCCCCAAAGCCCCCAAGC